GATTTTACTTAACTTTTTACTTTTTTTTTTTTTTTTTTTTTTTTTTTTTTTATTATTTTTAAAACATATTTTAATTACAATATCCACTGCTTTCACGAAGAGTAGAAATCAAGTATTTTAGTTAGTTAAATTGCTGGAAGTGGCAATGTCATGTTCCGGAGGTTTGACTGTGGTCTCGAAACGGAGCGGTGGTAGGGCGCACCTAATGGAAAAGTTTCAGGAGCCCCAAGCTGGCCGAGGAGCTCCCATTTCGCTGCCACACTTGTTAACGCCTTTGGACTCGGATAGGATAGCTGCCGTCTCCATTTACTCGTACTTGCTGGGAATTGCATTTGCTGCCAACGAAGTTTATTCGCAGTCTCCCAGCTCGTTGGCAACGTCGTCTCGTTTCGGCTGGTTTGGTTGGGTCTGCTCTGCTCTTGGCTTTTTGCTGGCCTGGTCTTGGCCTCAACTCTTTGCCTTTTCGCCTCCTTTCCGACGTTTCACGTTTTGTCCCGCAATTTGCCATGGACATTGCTGCAGCTTGTCGTCTGTCGTCGGTCGTCTGTCGTCTGGCGGCTTGAAGGTGCGAGTAATTGATAAAAAGCATGTTACATATATAATTTATTGAGCATTCAGCCGGCACTCCGGCATGATGTATGTCGAGATGTGGCGGACGCCTAATGGACGACAGTTGATAACAGCCTCGTTTATGCACGTACCATCATATGGCTCTCCATCTTGGGGACTCTTGAAAACTTTGTTACCTCGAGTTGGTGGCACTCCAACTGGCTGCCACCGATGCCACTGATGCCACACTGCTCCTCTTGGCGGCAACTTCAACTTCTTGGTTATTTATTTATGTTCAATTTGATTATGAATGCCATGCAGGACTCGGCATTTTCCCGACTATCCAGCTCGTCGTTCGTCTGGCGGAAAAGGGGTCATCAGCAAAAACGGGGCACATTGCTCCTTTCAATGCTATTTTAGTGCAGATTTTATTTCTCCTGCCTTCTGCTTTTGCACATTTAATTAAAAATTATTCATGAGCGAAATTAATTATGGAGCGTGGCAGTGAGGGAGCCTAAAATGCAGTGCAAGAAATAATCGAAATCTTAAATATTAATGGAGATAAATAGTGGCTTTATGATCAGAGGATTTTGTTTCTTATTAGGTATTAATTACTAAATATTTTTATTATATTTATAATGTAGTTATACCACTAAATCCTTGTAGTAATATTTGGGGATTAATCATAAACTTCTTTGAAGCAATACATACTATTGGATTATGTTTGTAGAATCAAAATGAAATATTTTTAGTTTACTTAGCAATTCTACAAGTGTAACCTCGCAATTCTCGGTGCACTCTGTCCTTAACCAACAACAAGAACAACAATGAGCGCCTGCAAAATGCGAGGAACAAAAACTACAGCGATGGAAAGGGAATGGGAAATGGGTTTGGGGAGTAGGATTGGAGTGGCGGAGGAGCATATCGTACGGATGGTTGACTAGATGCCAACCAGCCTGCCACTGCTTTCCTGGCTCTCCTGGCTTTCCTGCCTTCCTGGCAGCCAACTGGTGAACTGTTGTGCTATTCTACCGGCTGCCTATTTAGCCGGGGCCCAGGCTCTTCAACACATTTAAATAGCTGCAACTTCCGTTGCAACTAGTGCCACCCACTTTTTATTTTCGCAGGCAACGCAGGATGGCAGGCAGGCACAGGACTCGTCGAGTGTTGCCAGTGCCGGGATGCGGATGGAGTGGCAGCATCCTGCTCTCGTGGTGCTCACTTAAAGTTTTGTGCCTCCATGCTGCCCACTATCCGCCGGATTCGCCGAGTTTTTCTGCCCCCCCAAGAGATCCCGCACCGCTCCAGTTGGCCAACAATAACAGCACTTGCACTCATTTAGCATTTAAGTGCAGTTGTGCTGCTGCTGCTGCTGCCAGTGGGGGAGCACCTTCATCTGGACCACGTTGCCTCTACGTCCGCAGTGGAGCCGTGGCGTTGAAATTGTCGACTCGGTCATCCGAATTATGCCATTTTGCCAGGGGGAAAGTAGCAAGTAGCAACCAGCAACCGGCAACCGGCTCTAAATAACCAGCTAGCAATCCACCCACCCAACCATTCCGACCAAAACCAATCGTCAAGCCGCATCATTCACATGCGCATCCGTTGCCCATTTCTATACCCACGACGGCTTCCTCCTGGCTTCTGGCTTCCAGCTCCGTCTGGCACTCCTGATCCCGCTGGAGCCTCGCTGTGGCAGCGACCCAAGCATCCGAGCACCCAAGCCCCACAACTCGACCCCAGTTGTATACATTAATAATTAAAATATTTTCCCAAGTTTGAATGAAGTGCAGGCAGGAGGAATCAACGGGTTACGCCACGGTTCCATCTCTGGCTTCGTCTGCATTTCAATTTCGGTCGAGTGTGTGTGCCTACACTGAGGGGAAATCTATAATATAAATTCTGGAAAAATAGGAGGTTTCCAGAAACTCACCTGGTGATACAGAAATTACGTGATGTATAAGGATTGTTTTTTAAATTATCTAATAACCTTACTTCAATGATGTTGAATTCCTTAAATTGGAACTTGTTAGTTAAGAAATCTTTAAATATCTCAAAATGTTTTTTTGAGAGTCTACAGATTGATTTTCAAATCAATTTCAAATCTAAATCTTTTGAGATTGGAAATTTAAATAAGTTTGCTGTTTGCTACTTGATTTGTACCTTAAATACAGATTGTAGTTCTAAATACAGATTGTAGATTAAGTTTATTTCCCCTGGGCAACCATTTCCTAGTTTGATTTTTCTTTTTTATATAATGTATTTTCTTTTTGTGTAGAGGAAAACGAGATGGTTGTTTGGGGCACTTCTCTTCTTGGCTCCGGTACTCGACTTGATGAGCATGTCTGCTGATGTTGTTTTTGTTTCTGCCTGATGCTGCTGCTCCTTCTGTTTTTATTTTTGTTTTTGTTTTTGTTTTTGTTGGTAATGATGTTGATTTCTTAACGCTTCACTGCCGTCTGCGGAGGAGCATAAAAAATGTGAATAATATACAAGGATTTGCAGTTAAGTGCTGCTGGTCGCTCGGTCTCTCCCCAAACGGCAGCGTCATCTAGCCGTATTTCCCATTGTCAGCCATCCAGGGATTACGTTGCATATTAAGCCCCAAACATAATGCTATAGGATTCCCCGGCATTAGCACTATTATCGAACCGTTCCAGAACAGCTTGGCAAACATTTACCCGCACACCCATATGCATATGAATATGCATACTATTTGTGGGGTTGGGATGTATGTATGCAAATATTGTTGAATTTGCACACTTGGCACACAAATCCTGTTGCTGCACCTGGGGGCCAACTACCAGGTGGTGGGGCTGCGCAAAAAAAAATACAGAATTATAAAAAAAATATTTAAGGGGCTGTGGAAAAGTGGGCGTGTGCACGCTTGATGGCGTATGAGCAGGCAACCAAGCAAGCAACCAACCCACTTTGCAAAATGTCACCATTTTTGTTTTGGGTCCCCCCGGTTCCCCCCTTTCACCCTCCTCCCCCTTCATCCCCTCCATCCCCTGGCAGTCCACGGTGCTTGATGGATTACTCGAGAGCCTGCTGCTCCTCCGCCTGGTTGCATAAATATTGCAAATGCCTGACGCGCTGACAGGTCGCGCTGATGGGGAGATCCGGGGATGCGGATAAGGATGCCTTCCCGCGCAGCTCCTGTTGCCTTGTGGGTCAACATTTTGCAGCTGCAAGTGGATCTCTCTCCTAAATACTCCAGAAGGAATGTTAAAATTCTGAAAATATTAACCAGAGCGGAGGGTTTATTCGTATGTTAAATTGTAAGAAATTCTACTCAGGACTCTTAGTTTTGTAAAGAAATAAAAATTAATTCATTTCAGTTGATTTTATTTGATTGATTATTATTTTATTTGATTGATTTATTTTGAATGAGAACAATTTTTCATAAGCAATGTGGTTTACATATTGAAAATCATAATTTCTATATATTAAATAGGTAGAACAAAATTCAATAAATAAAATTTAACCATGGCTAGTCTGTTTAATAGGTCAACTAAATCAATTTTGTTTTATTACTGCGCTTTGAAGTTAATTGTTGCTACCAAACATTTCGCAAACCACGTGCCATAAAACGAGCTGCAATTAATATTTTTCGAACAAGCCAATAAAGTTACGCAGCCTGTGGAGCTGGGTCGTAAACTATCAGGGTATTTCCAGTGGCAGTGCAGTTGGCAGGCGGCTGAAATTTGTTCCACCTGGTGCGCCCCCATGCGCTTATTCATACGCAATTAGATCAGCGAACAGCAGCTAGCTTGCAACATGCAGCTTGGAGTGCCACCAACCCAACAAGCCAACCCAACCAACCACCCACCCACCGAACTTGGCCAACATGCCACCCACATGTGAGTGCAACTGCGAGTGCAAGTATGAATATGAATATGAGTATGAGAATGAGTATGGGTATGCTGCTCGGGCTCATGCACATAAATGGTAAACAAAGAGTGCCTGGGCGTAGTTGCGATTGCATTTACCATTTACTACGGCAACAATTCCGGCTCTGCCATATTGTTAACCACTCGAGCCGGCGAACGTTGTTGCTTATTTAATTCTTGATGGCTGTTGCACCCACCTGCCGCCTCCTTCTGCTGCTTCTCCTCCTCCACCGGAGGCTGCTTGAATATTGCATTTGTTAATTAGAACTTGCCAGCTGCAGCGTTCCCCTAAAGCCAAAAAATTTGTTTAAAATTGCATCTGAAGAAAGGAATTTCACGTATGAATTAGAGAATGATTAAAAGGGTAAATGTTTGGGAAAGATAGAGGAACTAACCAAGAACTAAAGGGTTATATAATAATAGTTTCCTTAAATAAAAATAACAAGTAGAACCCCCAAATGTTCTACTCTTGTTCAATTGTAATCATTTTAAAGCTTAAACTTAATTATATCCTAAATTCACAATTAATTTGGTAAATATTCCTTCATTTACTTGCAGTTCACATGCCCAGCTCGTCATCCCTGATAGCCAGTCCGCCGGCGAATGCGTTCGTGAATACGCCGGCCACCCTGCTCTTCACCACGCGCCACGACATCCAGGTGGCGAACATCACGAGGCCCACGGGCGGACCTCAGATCGATGTGATCGTGAGGGACCTGGCCGAGGCGATGGCCATTGACTTCTACTATGCGAAGAACCTGGTCTGCTGGACGGATTCCGGCCGGGAGATCATCGAGTGTGCGCACACCAACTCCTCCTCCGCACTGCAGCCGCTCTTGCGGGCGCCTAAGCAAACTGTGATATCGACGGGTCTGGACAAGCCGGAGGGCCTGGCCATCGACTGGTATACGGACAAGATCTACTGGACGGACGGCGAGAAGAACCGGATCGAGGTGGCCACGCTGGATGGTCGCTACCAGAAGGTGCTCTTCTGGACGGATCTCGACCAGCCGCGAGCGGTGGCCGTGGTTCCCGCTCGCAAGCTGCTCATCTGGACGGACTGGGGCGAGTATCCGAAGATCGAGCGGGCCAGCATGGATGGGGATCCGCTTTCCCGCATGACTCTGGTCAAGGATCATGTGTTCTGGCCCAATGGATTGGCGGTGGACCTGAAGAACGAGCTCATCTACTGGACGGATGGCAAGCACCATTTCATTGATGTGATGAGATTGGATGGTAGCAGTCGGCGAACCATAGTGAACAACCTGAAGTATCCCTTTAGTTTGACCTTCTACGATAATCGCTTGTACTGGACGGATTGGCAGAGGGGTTCACTGAATGCTCTGGATCTGCACACAAGGGAGCTCAAGGAACTGATAGACACGCCAAAGGCACCGAACTCCGTTAGAGCCTGGGATCCATCCCTGCAGCCGTATGAGGATAATCCCTGTGCCCACAACAACGGAAACTGCTCGCATCTCTGTCTGTTGGCCACGAACTCCCAGGGCTTCAGTTGCGCCTGTCCAACGGGAGTGAAGTTGATCTCACCGAACACCTGTGCCAATGGCTCCCAGGAGATGATGTTCATTGTGCAGCGAACGCAGATCAGCAAGATTTCCCTGGATTCGCCGGACTATACGATATTTCCTTTACCCCTGGGAAAAGTCAGGTACGCAATCGCCATAGATTACGATCCGGTGGAGGAATACATCTACTGGTCCGATGTGGAGACTTACACGATCAAAAGAGCTCATGCCGATGGCACTGGAGTGACTGACTTTGTGACCTCCGAGGTGCGGCATCCCGATGGATTGGCTCTCGATTGGCTGGCACGTAATCTCTACTGGACGGATACTGTAACAGATCGCATAGAGGTCTGCCGATTGGATGGAACGGCAAGGAAGGTTCTCATCTATGAGCACCTGGAGGAGCCGAGGGCCATTGCGGTGGCTCCTTCGCTGGGCTGGATGTTCTGGAGCGATTGGAACGAGCGCAAGCCAAAGGTGGAAAGAGCTTCGCTGGATGGATCCGAACGCGTGGTTCTCGTGTCCGAGAATCTTGGCTGGCCGAACGGGATTGCCTTGGACATCGAAGCCAAGGCGATCTATTGGTGCGATGGCAAGACGGACAAGATCGAGGTGGCCAATATGGATGGTTCGGGAAGACGAGTGGTGATCAGCGATAATCTGAAGCATCTCTTTGGCCTGAGCATCCTGGATGACTACTTGTACTGGACGGACTGGCAGCGTCGCTCGATTGATCGGGCTCACAAGATCACGGGAAACAATCGGATTGTGGTTGTGGATCAGTATCCGGATTTGATGGGTCTGAAGGTCACTCGATTGCGGGAGGTCAAAGGTCAGAATGCTTGTGCCGTGCGGAATGGAGGATGCTCGCATCTCTGCCTGAACCGTCCGAGGGATTATGTTTGCCGATGTGCCATAGACTACGAACTGGCGAATGATAAGCGGACTTGTGTGGTGCCAGCTGCCTTTCTTCTTTTTTCCCGCCAGGAGCACATTGGTCGGATCTCCATTGAGTACAACGAGGGTAACCACAACGATGAGAGGATACCCTTCAAGGATGTGCGAGATGCGCATGCCTTGGATGTTTCTGTGGCAGAGAGGAGGATTTACTGGACCGATCAGAAGAGCAAGTGCATCTTTAGGGCCTTCTTGAATGGCTCTTACGTTCAGAGGATTGTGGATTCCGGTTTGATTGGACCCGATGGCATTGCTGTCGATTGGTTGGCCAATAATATCTACTGGTCGGATGCGGAGGCGCGACGAATCGAAGTGGCTCGCTTGGATGGCAGCAGTCGGAGGGTTCTCCTCTGGAAGGGAGTAGAGGAACCACGATCCCTCGTTTTGGAACCGAGAAGAGGTTACATGTACTGGACGGAATCTCCGACGGATTCGATTCGACGAGCGGCGATGGATGGAACCGAATTGCAAACTATTGTAGCGGGTGCAAATCATGCGGCGGGACTTACTTTTGACCAGGAAACACGACGTCTCTACTGGGCCACTCAATCCCGGCCAGCGAAAATCGAAAGCGCCGATTGGGATGGCAAGAAGCGGCAAATCCTAGTTGGCAGCGATATGGATGAACCTTATGCGGTTTCCCTGTATCAGGATTATGTTTACTGGAGCGACTGGAACACCGGTGACATCGAAAGGGTGCACAAGACGACGGGTCAGAATCGCAGTCTGGTCCACTCGGGCATGACGTACATCACCTCTCTCCTGGTTTTCAATGATAAGCGGCAAACCGGAGTGAATCCTTGCAAGGTGAACAATGGAGGTTGTTCGCATCTCTGTTTGGCTCAACCGGGAAGACGTGGGATGACCTGCGCCTGTCCCACCCACTACCAACTGGCCAAGGATGGTGTCTCCTGCATTCCACCCAGGAACTACATAATCTTTAGCCAGAGAAACAGCTTTGGTAGACTGCTGCCGAACACCACGGATTGCCCGAATATTCCTCTTCCTGTTTCTGGAAAGAATATTCGAGCTGTAGATTACGATCCCATCACTCATCACATTTATTGGGTAAGTTAAAGAACACTTCATTGGAGAACTCACATTGTTAATGTCAAATTTATTATTAACAGATTGAGGGCAGAAGTCACAGCATTAAGCGATCGCTGGCGAATGGCACCAAAGTCAGTTTGCTGGCCAATTCTGGGCAGCCTTTTGACCTGGCCATCGATATCATAGGACGTCTGCTCTTCTGGACTTGCTCCCAATCGAACAGTATTAATGTAACCAGGTAAATATATAAGAAAACTAAAACCAAAACAAATTTGTATTATCGTTATTTTCTTTCCTTAGTTTCCTGGGCGAATCCGTTGGCGTTATTGATACCGGTGATTCGGAGAAACCTCGCAACATTGCTGTGCACGCCATGAAGCGTCTGCTCTTTTGGACAGACGTGGGCAGCCATCAGGCAATCATTCGTGCCCGGGTCGATGGCAATGAGCGCGTGGAGTTGGCCTACAAACTGGAGGGAGTCACAGCTTTGGCTTTGGACCAGCAGTCCGATATGATTTACTATGCTCATGGCAAGCGGATCGATGCCATCGATATCAATGGCAAAAACAAGTGAGTATAGATTATAACTAGATATAATACATCTTAAACTTACGTTGTACCTTCCTTTGTTCCCCAGAAAAACCCTGGTTTCCATGCACATCTCTCAAGTAATCAACATCGCCGCTTTGGGTGGCTTTGTCTATTGGTTGGATGACAAAACCGGAGTGGAACGCATCACAGTCACCGGTGAACGTCGATCGGCTGAGTTGCAGCGCCTGCCGCAGATCACGGACATCCGTGCTGTGTGGACACCGGATGCGAAGGTGTTGCGCAATCACACCTGCCTGCACAGCCGCACCAAGTGCTCCCACATCTGCATTGCCAGCGGCGAGGGAATGGCTCGCACCCGAGATGTCTGCTCCTGCCCCAAGCATCTGATGCTGCTGGAGGACAAGGAGAACTGCGGTGCCTTTCCCGCCTGTGGACCGGATCACTTCACTTGCGCAGCTCCCGTTTCGGGAATCAGTGATGTGAACAAGGACTGCATACCCGCCTCCTGGCGATGTGACGGGCAAAAGGACTGTCCGGACAAGTCGGATGAAGTGGGATGTCCCACCTGCCGGGCGGATCAGTTCAGCTGCCAGTCGGGCGAGTGCATCGACAAGTCGCTGGTGTGCGATGGCACCACCAATTGTGCAAATGGTCATGACGAAGCCGATTGCTGCAAGCGACCAGGGGAGTTCCAGTGTCCCATTAATAAGGTAAGTGTATTATATCAATACAATATAACAAATTGTAATAATTTATATCTATTTCAGCTGTGTATTTCCGCCGCCTTGCTTTGCGATGGCTGGGAGAACTGCGCCGATGGAGCCGATGAATCCTCGGACATTTGCCTGCAGCGTCGCATGGCTCCTGCTACCGACAAGCGCGCCTTTATGATTTTGATTGGCGCCACCATGATCACCATCTTCTCGATTGTCTATCTGCTGCAGTTCTGCCGCACGCGGATTGGCAAGAGTCGAACGGAGCCGAAGGATGATCAGGCCACGGATCCGTTGTCGCCATCAACACTAAGTAAATCACAGAGGGTTTCCAAGATCGCCTCTGTGGCGGATGCAGTAAGGATGTCCACGCTGAACTCGCGAAACAGTATGAACTCCTACGATAGGAATCACATTACTGGCGCATCGAGTTCCACGACGAATGGCAGCAGTATGGTGGCTTATCCCATCAATCCGCCGCCTTCGCCGGCAACAAGATCAAGGCGTCCGTACAGACACTACAAGATCATCAACCAGCCACCGCCACCGACGCCTTGCTCCACGGACATCTGCGATGAGTCCGACTCGAACTATACGAGCAAGTCGAACAGCAATAATAGTAATGGAGGAGCCACGAAGCATTCATCCAGTTCGGCGGCCGCCTGCCTGCAATACGGCTACGATAGTGAGCCGTATCCGCCGCCGCCGACGCCGCGCTCGCATTACCACAGCGATGTGCGCATTGTGCCGGAGTCCTCCTGCCCGCCATCGCCATCCTCGCGGAGCTCCACGTACTTCTCGCCGCTCCCGCCCCCGCCATCGCCCGTTCAGTCGCCCAGTCGGGGCTTTACGTAACATTTCGAGATTTACATGTAAGGCGAGTGGGAGAGGAAGAGGATGCGCGCTAACATATCACTTTTCGTTTTATGAATTTTATTAGTTTCACAACACTAGTTTCTACAACTGATTTGTAAATATGTATGTGTGTTTAAATTGGTCATTTAAGGCTTTAACTAATTTTAATCTTAGAGCTTAGAGAGAGCGTCCATGCCTGGAGGACTTATCCGATCTCGTTAAGTTTCATTTTTGCCAGATAGCCCGAAATAGATTGCAGTACAATGCATTGCAACCATGCGCAACAATAGACTGCAGATTTTTTGTAAGCGAAATGCAATTATTAGCAATTAACTTAGGTCTAAACGATGTAATATTCGATAAGTGAGTCTTTTGAAATTCCGTGTGCCAAATTTTCCGAAACCTGACAGAAAATCCGCAATTGATTTAACCCCTACCTACGCAGCTATCATTTAAATGCATTTAACACGTAGACTTAGTTTAATGTTTAGTTTTAATGTGTAAATAGATAATTCTATTATGAAAGCAATATTGATAAAAATGCGACTAATTCAACTGTCTTCTTAATTGTTATAAACACCAAAAAGTGCCTCAGTAATACGTGTGTTTTATTGTTTATTCTTAAATTCTCCTATATCATTTATTCATAGATAATACAAATGAATAGCTAGTTATTCATACGACGTAGGTTTTGCAATAAATAAATTGAAGTAAATTCATATTTATAGTTAATTTTAGAAAACGTAATTTGTAACAAACAAACATATAACAAACAATATTTTTAAATGTAAAATGCAGTATTTTTAACAAAATTAAAATGCGACTTTTATTTATGGCGCACAAATGCCAACTAAAGTTGGTAGATGGCGCCACCAGGAGTTTAAATGGAAAAATCAGGTAAAGTAAAATGTGTGTATTATACATAACTATCTACATTTGGAAAATCAACAAAAAGAATCCCGATTTGCTAAATTAAAACTCAACCGTTTACATAAATGTTAGTTTATTATAAAAATCACAACGGTAGAAATAAATACTATTTAACAAAATGGAATGTTGTTGGTAAACAAAATAACACAGTGCATCGTATGTAATTGGTATGTACAAATTACTCGAACGTTATGAATTGACTACAGACTAGAATACAAATATGATTTATTGCAGTGGGTAATTTAAGTGGGTTTCATGCCGAACCAACTCATTTTCCAATTCAAAGTGTCATGCAGTAGCTTCTCCTCGTCGGGTGTCAGTTGAAGCAAAGTGGAGACGGCACGTACAAGATGACGCGCTTCCACCTAAGGGAATACCCATAAGTTTAGAGAAACTGAGATGAAGAGGTGTGGAATTACATACCTCGCGGCTGGTCAAGAACTTCACAATGACGTGTTTCAAATATTGAAAATTAACTTCGTCCATTATGATGCAGTTGCCTTTGTCGCCAGATGGAAAAGGCTCTATAGATGAGCTAGAGATTTTGTGACCAAGGATCGTTGTTGGATGAGATTCGTTTTCTGTGGATATTTGCGCGCTGCGCAATTCCTTCTGCACGGTCTTTTTCAGGTCAACCAAACGCTGGTTTAAGGTTTTTATTGTCTAGATTATAAAATGAATTAGTTAAATTGTTACTATCGGTTTTGATTAACTTCTCACCTTATTTTTCTCGACTATTTCCAATTGAATTCCCTCAAATTCGGACAACTTTTGGGCATTATCCTCAGCCGTACTGTTGACCTGTTGCAGCGTTTGTCGGGCTTCTGATATATCCTTTTCTAATTGAATATTCCTGTCCTGGAGATCGGTGGCTTCGCTGCGCTCCAAGCGCAGTTGTTGCCGTAAAATGTCTTCGCTCTGGGCGATTTCCGCATTGCGGAGTATTGCAGTCAGTTTTTCCTCTCGTTCGATTTCCAGCTGCATTATGGTTTCGTCTAGCTGCTCCTGCTTTTCAGTCACTTGCGTCCGTAGCTTTTGGGCCACCTGCTCCGCATTCGAGGCGTATTCGGTGAACCTGTCATCTGCCGCCGTGAGACGAGTCTTGAGATCTTTTACCTCTGTTTCCAGATTTTGCTGAGAACATTCGGTTTATTGGTTTACAAAATCTCCATCAATCGGAATAGGATATTGAAGATAAACATATATGCGTGCATTACTCAAGGAAAAAGGTTACCAATAAGTTTGCCAACGATTAAAAATCAGTTTAATACCAAAAGGAAAACATTTATAATCGAAAAGTACATAATAGGTGTGGTAGGAAAATTCCATTTTCCCGAAAAGGTGGTGTAAGGTAAACCAGAAACTTAAGTGTTAGTGTTAGTACTGCGTTGCAGGGTTATTTAGTGTTACAAGTCCCAATGGAAATCGTCGGTATCGGGAGGCATACTCACAGATTTGTTGCGCTCAAAGAGGATTTGCTGCTCGTTCTCCTCGCGGCACTCTTTCAAGGCCACACTCAGCTCGTCGATTTCCTCCTCAAGCAGCTTGACCTAAGATTAGGATTAAGGATTAACATCAGCTTTAAACGATTACTGGCTAACCCACCTTATCGTCCCGCTGCTTGATTTCATCTTTGGCCTTTTCCAATTCGAATGAAACCTGCTTACGGCTTTCGATGGCATCGTCGCGGGATTTAAGTGCCTTTCGCTTTTCGGTGGTCTCCTCAGCTACTTGCTTGGATAACCTGCTGACTTGAGTTTCCAGCGCTAGATTTTGGCCACTCCACGAACCCTTGATGTCCGACAATTGCAGGTGGGCTTCCTCCAAGTGCTGCTCCAGCAGCTTATGCTCCCGAATAAGTGCCTGCACCTGCTGCTCGGAGTTCAGCTTGCCAAGTGACTCCAAGCGCGATTCCTCCACGATCTTCATGCGCTTTTTGAGGTGTCGGTTCTCCTCCTGCACGGCCGCTAATGTGGTGGTTAGCAGGTTCTTCTCCTGCTGGGTGGCATGCCGCAGCTGCTCCAATTCGTCACGCAGATCCTCGGCCACGGATTCAATGGGACGCAGGCGCTCCAGTTCCTCACTGAGGGACTCGATTTGCTGGCTCTGCTGGCGCATGTGTCCCATGCGATCCACCGATTCCTGCTCCCGAAAACTGAGCAGGTTCTTCAGCTTATCGATTTCGATCTGCTGCAGATTCTGGATCTTCTCCTGCTCCTCGCAGTACATGTCCTTTTGGGTCTGGGCCACTCGGACGCTCTCTAGCAGGATCTCGTTAGTCTTATCCACCCGGGTTTTCTCCTCCTGCAGCTGCTGCATTCCTTGCGTGACTGTGGCCAACTTGGTGGTGAGCTCGTTGCACTGACTCCGAAGTTGGCACAGTTGCTCCGACTGCAAAGAGTACAGGTGTTTATCCGTGTATCATTATCATATATGTATACACAAATAGACTGTTTTTTTTTTCTTTTCATACCTCATTGTAGTATCCGCCACCGCCCACATCATCAGCTGAATTGGAATTAATGCTAACGCGGCGACTACGTAGCCGGTAATTGTTGTTGTTGTTGCTGGGATAACGCTGGTTGGCCGAGTGAACCACGTCCTCACCAGTTTCCTCCTTGATTTTGTTTTTCAGTGTGGCGAACATTGTCGTTACAAGGGGAAGCTTTCGTCGACTGATGTTTTTTTTATCGCCGTGTCTGTCCCCCCGACTGAAGTTGGTCTAGATATTTGTTGGGGCAGACGGAAGCGTGCCCGTGAATCGTTTATAGCATGGCGTTATATCTCTGGCCACTGTGTTCTACTTGCTTATCAGGTAAATGCTAATTTCCGTAAACCGTCGATGTTGTTTACCATCGATAAGAATCGACTTTGCCCCAACCAACAACAATCGACAGACAGGGCTGCCATACGCGCTACTAATTCCAGACATATGGCAACTCTTAAATTTCACGCTTCGTTGCATTCCGATAACTGACGCCAAAAAACAGCTGTATATGCGCGCTTCATTTTCCAAATAGAAAAAAAACCTAATTGTTAGCGTCCTTCGTGAAATTGTTACCTGTTCAAATTTTTGTTATTAAAGGAATCGTGACTTAAAAGGTCTTGCTATGGACCAGTCAAAGCAGGTTTTGCGAGACTACTGTGGCGATGGCAATAATACCTGTGCCTCGTCCTTGAGGGAAATCACCTTGATCGAGACAGTGACCAGCTTTCTGGAGGAGAATGGCGCCTCGGAAATTGACAGGAAGGTGCTGAAGAAGCTAGCCGAGGCCCTGTCCAAGAGTATAGATATGTGAGTATAGATTGGCAGGATAAACATTGCTTTGCCAATAAGATTGAAGACTGTAAACACTGATATTCCCTGTTTACCGAGAGTGCGCAGCAGATGACTGGCATGTGACATGGTGTTCGCACCCACTGTGATCTGGAACTATAGCTCTCAGCTGGAGCTCTCCCAGATCCAAAACGCTCGGCCCCATAGGGGGAGGTACGCTCACAAACACAACCGTACTGCGGGTGAATTACCCACCCCGAAAATTCAAAGAGAGCAGAAGCAACACTACTACACTGAGAAAAAAAGTATTCAAAAAAGTTACAATATTAAAATTTTAATGTTTTAAAATCACATTTTTATTCCAATCTAAATATCTGTTTAAGGCAAAACGTTACCTTCTTCAAAGTAGGCAACAAATATTTCGATATTGTTAGCAGTTCAAGTACATATCTCGGCGGACAACATTTACGGTTAGTTTCTCCCAGTGCATGGATACGGTTATTCCGCAGTGGGAAATGCGTAACATCTGCTCGGCGCATTTTCCTTTCCTCCCAGATGAGATGAGTTTTCCTCTCGGTCGCTCTCTGTGTATAGAGCCCGCAGGCCTCTCCTAATCGGTCGCATCGAATCGCACTTTCAGTTCAGTCAGTTATGTTCTAGCTTTCGGTTTATTTGGACGTAAAAAGAGCATTTTTCGGTTTATTTTGCTTGCCTCTCCGCTATCAATCGTGCCATATACACATACTTACTCATACAATATATATATGTAAATAAGAAACAATCAGCGGGTCAAGCGGAGTGCGGGTGTGTTAGTGTTTGATTGCATATATCCCTACATACAAAGTGCAATTGTTTATATCGCACTACGAGATACGAAAGTGATAGATTGATTTGTATTTATTGCTTACAAAGCTGTGGATAAACGATTCAGAGGATGCTGGTGGTTCTCAAGTGAAAAACGAATCGCATTGTATACAACGTACAAAAAGTGTGCTCGGACGTACAATGTAATACATATACTTAGAAATACTAAAGATGTTTGTGGTGGTGGCCCCACGTTGTTGTTGTTTTTGTACATTTGGTTTGTCGCCGCGATGCTGCGGCTAATTTTAGCCGGGAAAACTATAGAAATTAATTTGTTTGTCGAATAGAGCATTTCACGATTCAATCGGCAGATATATCATATCATTCGCCGTAGTTAAGCATTTCCTGCCATTCTTTATTTCCTCATAAGTCGTCTTATCAGTCTAGAATTACAAATATACGCACCATGTGTGGGTTAATGTCTACATGCATACACACACGTGCATTCATCAGGGGTCATGGACTCGTGGAATTAACCCCTATGGGGTAAAAACGGAACAGAGCACCTCTTTTGTTGCCCTTTAAAACTGCAATGTTGTTCTGTTCCCTACCCTGAAAAAGCATCCTGAAAAGTAAAGTACAGTATCGGATGCTCGCATATACTTTTGAGAGCTCATTAAGCGGATGTTTAAGTACTCATAAAAAAAGAGTTTTATCATTAATATTTGTCATCAAGTTTCGTTTTTTTTTTCGATTTTATTAAGCCCTTAGGAACATTTCTATGCCATATTTATTTAGTTAATTATGTTTTTATTTTTTTAAGCCAAGAATTTGAGAAGCCAATAAATGTCAGACATTTCTCATTAATAACTGGTGCTTTTGTAATTTAAAAGCTTTTTGGGCACTTCCTTTAATTGTTTAAATATTTGTGGTAGGAATATGGCTAACCGCTCTAAACACATTCAGGTAGTTTATGGGAACTTTGCACTACCTGTCCGAATATCCTTGAGATACAGATTCACCTTGAGACATATGGTTCTCGTCTAGAATACTTCCTTCACATATCACTCGGTGTATGCTCCATATACACTTCTGTTTATTGTTATTGTACGTCTCTGTTGAACAATGCAGGCGCCTTTGTGTGTCATTAGCCATAGTTTGACACCCACTCGAGACGCGCCGGGCAGTCAGGTAGATGAGCAGAGGTTCCAGGTGAGGTGAGAATGGGCTGTTAACGGCAGCTTACCCGCCGATGTGAGGGCCCTCAAAACGCATTGCAGATAAAGTTCAGGTGTTAACAATAAATACCCATGTTCTAACACGTTTCCAATGCCCACCTGTTGTTGTTGACCCGCTCGACCATCTGACGTTCCTTCAGTTAAGCCATTGATTTTCATTACCACCATAGTAACCGTAGGCCGAAAGCCAAAACAAAACATTGAGTGGAAATGTTTGGCAGTATTTTCTCGCCCGTTGCACGTTCTGCAGCTTCTATTGCGGTCGACGTCTTGCAATTTGCTCAATTCCCAAAATAAATTGCGACCAGAGGTGTGTGTAGATTATCTCCGAAGATGTGGTGGTGGCCCACATGAGCCGCTGGTTCCCCATCTCTGGGTGCTGCATCCCATCCGTAGGAGCGCCAGACTCTTTGAAGCCTCTTCCGCTCTACGGCTGAATGCTCCTGATTGCTGCGCACGTCGGCCAGCAGCCCGTGACTCATGGCTCATGGCTGCCTGCCTGCCCCTTGGAAGGCGACGTGGCGGATACGTAACGAAGTCTGGCGTGCGCCACAGAAGTATTTAGGGAATAAAGCCAAGAACAACAACAACCAGGGGTGACGTGTCCACCCTGTGTGTAAAAGCAACTAATTAAATCTCAAATTTAGAGTCGCTGCAAATATCTATCTACACGTTTATATATAAAAACCAAAGAAAACAAACAAACGAATAAGAGCGCAAATGCTAAATGAAACATAGAATATGGCGGGTATATTTCGATCTACCTCTCTAAACCACTCAACCGATGTGCCTGGTTCTCCGTTCAAACGATACTCGCTTAATTCCGGCCATGGAGCATTCTGGTAAGTCATGGTTCCTTACTTGTTGGGCCTACTGTACGAAATCTACACTCGCTCAATTGTACTTCCCTCTTCCCCGAGATTCACGGCGGATTTAAGGCGCGGAAGTGTAATCTCATCCATTTCGACTTGTGGTTTTTGGAAGTGCGATCATTCAAGTGTGACTTTAGCTGAAATTCAGTTCACAGAGCAATTGGCCAAAAACAAAAAAAGAGGTTGATTGCCGATTTGGGCATCTGGGTGTGTCTGTAATTGATGGCACTGTCGTACAGTGCGGATCGTATTCAAGATACTATTCATGGGGATTTTCAATCCATTCATAAGCTTATCTAAGCTTTTAAAAATATGTTTAATGACTGTTTCAGTTTTTAAAGTATTTATGATATCCTTTATATTTGTATAACGTATTAAGGAAATGTTAAATTGCTAGAAATCCAGAAATCCGTATATCATTGTTCAATTAAACTTTGTCACAAGACCTTAATTTGATTTCGTCTACTTTCTATATAAGTAACAGAGTGTTAATTTAAATGAGAGCATTTCCATCATTTTCACGCCCCAGCAAATAACTTAGGAAAACGGAATCCGTTTCTTAATTAACCTATAGAATGTTCAAAATAGAAATTCCGATCGTTTCCAGTTTTCCTCTTCGTATAAGGCAGATATATCATTAATTAATAGCAAGATGTTTAGTAGCCAGAACAAAGTGCAACGCAAACATCAAACCTTGGTGCATTGTCCGTTGATTTTCCAGTATTTATTACCAATTTAAGTCATAAGCCCGGCCAAATAATGTAAACCGGTTTTAGAATCGGATTAAGCGCGCTCTAGCCAAGATCGTTTGATACTAGTCGATACCTTGATGGCTGATGGCCGGAGTTGGATAGTCACTTCGTGACTGGAGCTCACTTGGAATGGTGCGAGCGAGTTGGTCGAAAGTGAAAGTACTCCCCGTACTGTGGTTCCTGTTCCAGGGGATTCCTCCTCTGCTGGCCATTCGCCTGCAGCCCTGCGAACTTGCTGGCCAGCTCTATATTCTCGATGTCCCGAAATCGGAGTTGCCGCTGTGGCTTTGCATTGCCGAGTTCGAGAGTCGCTTCAACACCCATGTCGTTGGTCAGGCGAATGCGGATGGTTCCCGGGACTACGGACTCTTCCAGATCAGCGATCGTTTCTGGTGTGCCCCACCGAACCGAACGGAGTACTATGCCTTCAATGATTGCAATGTGAATTGCACTCGGCTTCTCAGCGACGACATCACCATGGCCGTCCAGTGCGCCCGACTCATCCAGAAGCAACAGGGCTGGACGGCCTGGTCCGTCTATCCGGAGTTCTGCAACGGAACTTTGGAAGCCATCGATGAGTGTTTCCAGCCGGGCAACGCCACTGATTGCTCGACCACCAGCCAGTTGGATGAGGTCGTAGGTTGTTAGATAGTATGCTATCCATTATGTCATCACTGCCGAAATATTTGTGAATTTGTGTATGCTAAATTAAAAACTTAATTACCGTTGATATTCGACTTGTTTTATTGGACGTTCTGCTGCGAGGCCACAGCGAGCTGATTTCATTGTGCTCAATTAACAGATTCCCTCCTTCTTTACAGCACCAGTCCGGGAGCCCTGCAAGATGTCACCATGGAGAACTCATGTAAGTTAGAGGATTCCTTTCCTACAGAAATATTTAAAATGAAAATTGGATTAAATATTATGGAGATTTGGAAAGGGTATATAGAGCAAGCAATACCCTGAAGTAAATTACATTTCAAGTCAGACAAATGGTTTTCCTTCAGTTTATCGCAGTGTGCTTTGAATTTAAGTTCACGTTTCTTTTTATGAAAATCACAAAATATTAGGGCACCGTTTTGGCTACACACACAGAGCATTTGTACATTAATTTGGCCGCCAAGTTTGCCTTTATATATTTTCTATGCGCCCTAACGGTTAGGCTAAAACCTCACAGTCATGAACAGAAATCGCTCCACAAACTCGCATAATACTTCCCATTTTCTCAGTTAGTAGAGTTTTTTTGTAGGATCTTAAGCAACTTTAAATTAATGTTTGTATTCTATTTCAGATGCCAGTTTCGATGCGGTGCGACCACAAAGCGGCAATCACTCGCCCATGGCAATGCAAGGTCGGCCTGTGCGCGAGTTGGAGGAGCAGATGTCCTCGCTGCGCAAGGAGAACTTCAACCTGAAGCTACGCATCTACTTCATGGAGGAGGGTCAGCCAGGTAACCGGACGAACAACTCCTCCGACTCCTTGAGCAAGCAGCTCATCGATGCCAAGATCGAGATCGAAATGCTGCGAAAGACCGTCGATGAAAAGATGGAGCTGCTGAAGGATGCAGCCAGGGCAATTTCCCACCACGAGGATGTGCAACGCAAAGCGGAACTCGAAAGCCAGATGTTAATCGAAGAGTTGCAGGAACAGATTCGCTCTTACCAGGTGAGTTTACTTTTTTTTCTTCCTGCAAATTTGTATTTAATTACAATTAATTCTCTCAGCTGGCGGAGTCATCTCAAGCTGGTGGCAGCATTGCTGACCCGGACACCAGAAAGATCCAACGCCTTGAGTCGGAGATGAAAAAACTGGAGGACGAACTGCAGCAAGTCATTACCCAGAACACAGAGGCCAAGAACGAGATGGAGTTCGCGCTGGCCGAGCGCCTGGAAACTATAACCGCTTGCGAGGCGAAGATCCGTGAGCTGGCCATAAAGAATGCCGAACTCGTAGAGCGCCTCGAAAAAGACTCGGAAATCGCAGAGAGTTCAAACGTAAGTATAGCCATTAATTAGTTTCCCCTGTAGATTAGTTGGGGCATCGAGTGTCAGGGGTTAAAGAGAATCCCGTATGTTTAGAAGATAATAGAAGAGCTTAAGTCGGAGATTGGGGAGTGTCGGGCCAACAATCAGGATCTGGTGGCCTCCATTAGCAGCATGGATGTCGAACTGGTGCGTCGAAGCAACTCGATGAAGGAGGTCTCCAACACGATGGACGTACAGCGTCAGACCATTCAGTTGTTGGAAGTGAGTTCCAGACAGTCTTCCCCTCTTCAATCAGAAATCATTCCCCCTTCAACCCAAAGGGCACCATCAAGAGCAAGGAGAAGTCGAATGCCCGCCTGCTTAATAGCCTGCTGGAATTTGAGGCACTGACCACCAAGCAGAATGCGGAGTTGGAAATCATGCGGCAGCAGAATGTGTACTTCCGCGATCTCTCCGACAATCTGCAGCAGAAGGAGCTGCGGCAATCGGACCGCGGCGTGGCCATCGTTCAGCCGATGCCCACGATGACGACGGATGCCGCCGGGGTTGGTATCAAATCTTCTCTTGATCGTTGCGGCAGCACCTCCTCATTGCACTCCAACTTCTCATCGATCAGTGTCTTGTGTGGCAGTCGAGGGCCGTCGTCGCGCAAAACGCTGTGCCATTGGAACGGCGGACAGGTGAAGACCTTGCCAACCGGCGATCAGTGTGCTCAGCTCCTAAAACGTCGTTGTCCACAGCAGCAGCAGCAGCACCACCACCATCAAGCGTATCCAACACCTCAGTATTTGCAACAGCGGGGTCACCGCCACGGCAGACATACCACTCTGATGGCCGTCAGTGCACCCAGTACGGCGTTCTACAACTATTCGCTGCCAAGCTTTACTGGATTCCGGCAGTTCCTGTGGCGCTGGGGCACGTAGCCCTCAAGCTCACCTTGCTGATCTTGCGTTGGTACACCTGCCTTCAGAGCACCTGGGTGCCGCTACACTTGTCCTGCGATGGCGGCTATCCTTCTGCCGGATTCGGGCTGACTTCGCTGCTCTATCCGCACTGCCGAAAGTGCAAAGCGGCCGTTTTGGACGGAGTCCTTTTCTCCATTTAACCGCCGTCCCCTCCAATTTTTTTCGGTTTTTGTTGATCGTTGATAGAAACCAAGTCAATCTGATGTTGCCCATGTCTTTCCATGTATGAACGGTGTCGCCTTCCACTCAAGACATCGACAAATTTCTCGTTAAGGTGTATTCAATTTAATCTTCTTGAATGTCCGCGACCCGATTAAAAGAATGTTACTGAATCTGATTAAAAAGCATAAGTTAACCCTAAGCTAAGATCTTGTGTTCACTTTTCCGAAGCTGTAGCTGTTTCCCGTTTCCTCTGATCACTTGCAGACCAAGCGCGAACTGAACGCCCAACTCGCGGACAGGATGTGCGAGCTGCAGGACGCCCAGGAGAAGCTCAAGGAGCGGGAGCGGATCCACGAGCAGGCCTGTCGCACCATCCAGAAACTGATGCAGAAGCTGAGCAGTCAGGAGAAGGAGATCAAGCGGCTGAACCAGGAGAAACAGCAGGAGCAGTCGGTCAACAAAGAGGTAGGGATTCATAATTAATTTCTTTATTAATTGAGTATATAACAAGGAATTTACATACAATGTATTAGCTTGTTTGCTTTGTTGTCTTATTAAAAAAATGAAAAGTGTGCCGAGTGCTTAAATATAAATTTAAACGCAAATGGCCATCGCTTGTTTGAGTGCGCTGCACTCACTTTGGACAATTAGGTCGCAAAAATTCAAAAGAAAACATTAAATGACTTGGTGTTGTCACACATTTGTCGCCCAATGAGTAGCCAAAAAATGCTTTTTTTGCTTTAAGATATTTCAAAACTAGGTCCGAATGTTTAGAATACTTGACTAATTTAAGTTAATTGAAACAACAAATCATTATTTTAAATAGTGTTACAATTTGTATTAGGTTTTATAACCAAATAACGGTTATTAAATTTTTTATATTTTAGAACGACAGCGCCAAGACGACAGTTTCGCCATCGACAACGGGTCGCTCGATGAGTGACAACGAGGCCAGCTCCCTGGAAATCTCCACCAACCTCAAGGTGCGCTACGAACTCAAGATCACCGAGCAGGAGGAGAAGATCAAGCAGCTGCAGGCGGAGGTCAAAAAGAAGACGGCCAACCTGCAGAACCTGGTCAACAAGGAGCTGTGGGAGAAGAATCGCGAAGTGGAGCGCCTCACCAATCTGGTGGCTAGCAAGCAAAAGGCGCTACCTCAAATTGGCGAGGAGTCGGCCGGCGAAGCAGATCTGCAGCAATCCTTCACGGAGGCGGAGTACATGAGGGCACTCGAGCGCAACAAGTTGCTGCAGCGAAAGGTGGATGTGCTCTTCCAGCGACTGTCGGATGATCAGCAGAATAGCGCGGTGATCGGGCAGCTTCGCTTGGAAGTCCAGCAAGCTCGAACGGACTTGGAGGCTTCGGACAAGTGGCGACAGGAGTGCGTCGACGTTTGCGGTGTCCTGACCAATCGATTGGAGGAGCTGGCCGGCTTCCTCAACTCTCTGCTGAAGCACAAAGATGTCCTTGGCGTGTTGGCCGCCGATCGTCGTCACGCCATGCGCAAAGCTGTGGATCGCAGCTTGGATCTCTCCAAGAGCCTAAATATGACCCTGAACATAACTGGTACTTCAATTGCTGACCAGAGCCTTGCCCAGCTGTGCAATCTCTCCGAGATCCTGTACACCGAAGGCGATGTCAGCCACAAGACATTCAATTCCCACGAGCAGATCCACGCCGCCAGTTCAATGAGTCCGACGGTGGAGAACCTGAAGGCGGAGAACAAGGCTCTCAAGCGGGAGTTGGAGAAGAGACGCACCACTGAAGGACAGCAGCAGCGCAAGGAGCGACGCTCACTGCCACTGCCCTCCCATCAGTTGGATAACCAGAGCGAATCGGAGGCCTGGTCAGAGCCGGATCGCAAGGTTTCCCTGGCACGCATTGGACTGGATGAAACCTCCAATAGTTTGGCCGCCCCGGAGCAGCATGCTAGTGAGTCGGAGAGCGAGGGAAGGGCATGTGCCACCCGGCAGGAACGCAATCGCAACAGCGAACGCATCGCCCAGCTGGAGGAGCAGATTGCCCAGAAGGACGAACGCTTGCTTAACGTGCAGTGCCAGCTGGTGGAGCTGGACAACCGGTACAAACAGGAGCAACTGCGCTGTCTGGATATCAGCCAGCAACTGGAGCAGCTGCGAACCATCAACGAGGCTCTGAAAGCGGACCTGCAGGCTATTGGTTCGCACGAGGATCAGCGGATGGTGGAGCTGCAACGCCTGTTGGAGATCAAGACCCAGCAGATTGACCAATTGAAGCTGGCGCAGAGCACCCTGACTGCGGATGCCCAGATCACCGAGATGGAACTGCAGGCGGTGCAACAGCAGATGCAGGAAATGGAACAGCAGCACGCTGATTCCGTGGAGCAACTGCAATCCCAACTGGAGCAACACAAGCTGGAGGCCATGAAGCAGTTGGAGGAGCACGAGCGTCTGCACCAGGAGGCACTCGAACGTGACTGGGTCGCAATGACCACCTACCAGGAGCAGGCTCAACAGCTGCTGGAGCTGCAGCGATCCCTAGACTACCACCAGGAGAACGAGAAGGAACTGAAGCAGACGCTGGTCGAAAACGAGTTGGCCACGCGGGCTCTGAAGAAGCAGCTGGACGAGAGCACCCTACAGGCTTCCAAGGCGGTGATGGAGCGCACGAAGGCCTACAACGACAAGCTGCAGATGGAGAAGCGCTCCGAGGAGCTGAAACTCCAACTGGAGGCTCTAAAGGAGGAACAGCGCAAGCTGCAGCAAAAGCGCTCCAACAGCAGCGATGTCTCGCAATCCGGTTACACATCCGAGGAGGTGGCAGTGCCCATGGGACCACCGGCTGGACAGGCTACAACCTCTAAGCTGGCTGCCGCTGCAGTGGTGGCCCAGAGGGTGAACAATTCGTCCCCGGATCTGGGCATTGAAAGCGATGCCGGAAGGATTTCCAGCGTGGAGATATCCAATGCCCAACGAGCAATGCTCAAGACTGTGGAGATGAAAACCGAGGGTGCAGGCAGCCAAAAGACAAAGCCAGAGGGTGAGTTTAATCGAATCTTGCGGCCAAGAGATCACCCAACTAAATTCCGTATTTCTCTTTGCACAGAATCAAGTTCTCCCGACAGCAAACCCAATCTGGCAGCCGGTGCAGCCACAGCCCACGACTGTGCCAAGGTAGATCAAGAAAACGCCGAGTTGCGGCGCAAACTAATCCGCACCAAGCGCGCATTCGAAGACACCTACGAAAAGTTGCGTCTGGCTAACAAAGCAAAAGCACAAGTCGAGAAAGACATCAAAAATCAAATACTAAAAACGCACAACGTGCTGCGAAACGTTCGCTCAAACATGGAGAATGAGTTATAACGATCGCGCCAACGTCCAGTATATCAGCATTAACCCGAGAGGCCATTTACCCAATATTCATTTGCCATTTGCAATTTTTTCTTGCCATTTTCATTTCTTGTCTGTATTGTATTTTGTTGTCTCGTTGCTAACTTGATATTGATTTATTTATATTTCTTGTGTTTAAAGAGAACGAAACAACGAAGTTATTAATACGAAATATCCATGCATTTTCTAAAGACTGTTGAGGGAATCGAACCCATTGAATGGAATATCACACCTGTTTTAAGCACAACACCTCAAGTTAACGAAATAACTGAGTGCTGACAAAATGTATCTAACCCGGCGCACTCATTCATATTGAATGACACATGTAAATTAGACTGTATATATCCTCATAGTACCTAAACATTTACGAATATTATCTAGCATACTCCTCATGATTCTTGTGTCTGATAACCCCAATTTTTTTGATCTTTTGCGTGTAGCTACTGCTTGACTTATGAACTATCCTACTGCTTAAATGCTCTTAATCCTGATTTCAGTTAATCATCGAAACGGATATTGAAATAATTGTTTGACTTACCCGCCAAAAACGGTTTAACCACGTTGCCATCCAATAATTTTCTTTCGAAGCATCCCTTTGTACAATGTGTAAAAAGTAGTGTGCGGTGTCCTGGAGAACAAGACCTAGAACTTAAGTGATTTGTACCCTGTCGTTTTATGGAATAAACAATTGCGTTAGAATTAAATGTGTTGTTGTGTTTTTGTACTTGTTTTTTGGGTGAATTTTTAAAACAACATCATCTAAAGAAACAATGATTTTTAAGTTTTAAAAAAGTTAAATCCTAATCCCACCAGAAAATAAGTTTTGAATGGGTATAACGGTGAATTTGAATTTTGTTATGGCGCTGTAATCGATTAAATTCAAACAGCTGTTTGCCATAGCGCTGCCAGACTTGCGCGAAACAGAATGCGACCGTGTCACCTGGTTAAGGTATAAAAGCGCAAAATAATAAAAAGCAAAAACAAGCGTCGCGACTCGTGTTTACATAAATTATAAATCCATAAAGCGTTAGGACGAAGAAAGTTCCAAGTCCAAATAGTGAAAATCAAGTGCAGCGGTGTAAGCACTTCTTATCGGTCTTGTCGAGGCTTTGTTTACTCCCTTATCAATAAATATATATATGCTTTATTAACTTGTGCTTGAATAGAAAACCACCAGTGCGATAAAATTAGTGCGGGTGTAGAAGCGGCATTTATGTTTAGCTGGCATAAATGAATTTTCCTTCTATGAGGAACTGAACCGAACGGATTGTGTGGAAATACAGCCAGAAGCCAAACAAGGGCCGACGCTTTTCTTTGTTTTTCCCCCTCAACGTTTGTCTCGGATGTTTATGTTGGGTCACCAGTTGCTCATCAGGAAGCTATGCCCTCCATTTCACGTCTTCGCCAGTTCTATCGCCGCAACGAGTTCCCCGAACCCGGCCTCCTGAACACCTGTAAGTAATACCTTAAGCCGTGCAAGTTCTAACTTTGTGGTTTTTAAGCTGTTCGGCCCGGTGAATCTATGGCCGTTAGGGCCTAATCTGGTACAGCCTAAATTTAAGATTTCTAACCTTGAACTACATACTTAAAAATAAATAAAAACATTTTAAAAAGAGATAAGCATCAGGCATCAAAAGGAGGCGTGTACGAGGCACACATTATTTTTATTATTCATTAAAACTAATAATAGTTTTCGATTTAAGATTAGGGTTTCTGAGTAATGTGATTCACAGGTTACGCAAACTGGCAGAAAAATAGTAATGCTATTCGGTTTAGAGCAAAATTGGGTTTTAAATGATAAAGGCATGGCATTTCCTAAATATATCATAAATCTATCTCAATTTGTTTGTACAATGCCAAAACGCCCCCTAGAAATAGAATTTAACAGCAAATATTAACGAAGAATAGGTGAATCTCGGCAACTCACAATAAAACGATAAGATAACTTTTACTACACCTAGGTACTATGTCTACTTTAGTATATTACTAAAAATAAAAAAATAAAAAAAATTCTCTTGGCCCATGAGGGGATCGAACCCGCGACCTTCGCGTTATTAGCACGACGCTCTAACCAGCTGAGCTAATGGGCCGCGATGTTTCGATGCGACCAAGGGAAACATAGCCTGCAAAAAGAAAACCCACGGGTTGTTGCATACTTTGGCCTGGAAAATGTAAAATATAAACAGTCGCATTTTCGTAGTTGCCCAATTTATCTCGTAGTTTATTTAGTGCCTGGCCCACATACGGGCGGGTACTCCTGAGCGACACATATATTTTCGTTTTTAAAACTTTTCATAGTCCACACAATCGGCTTCGGCTAAGAAGGGCTCGGGTATTCGTGGACCGAAGGCAGCTGTGGGCTTGTTGTCCCTTTTCCTTTTTGCCCCGTGGAGGATCCGCAGTTGGCTTTTGACTTCGGTTCGGTTTGGACGTGTTTTATTTTTCGGCTGCGGCAATCGCTTTGCCATTGCCGTGGGAAATCGTTGAAAGCGGCCCCGCAATCCCGCTCCTTTTCGTACTTTTTTGCAATTACGGCGTAGCGTAATTGGATAGGTGTAAATACTCAATTTAGCACTGCAGTGCGGGGCGCCACTGTTAAAGTTGCAAGTGCAGTTCGATAATCTGAAGGTTTCCGCCGTGAGCGACGCTTGAATTATTTAGGCTGTCACAGATTTATGCTCCGAAAGATTGATTTCCGAGCCATGAAGGCACTCAAAAGTATATAGATGTTCGTATCTCCGCCAGCGAAAGCGTGCCCCGAGTTGATATGCGTGACAAGTAAACACCATTACCCCTAAATGTCAGAACTGCAATGAATTTTTGATGTATTAGACCCGAATCGAGTCCTTTAAAGTCGCTCGACTAATGGCAGCGTCTGGTGGCCCGCCAGTTGTTCCGGTTCTCAACACCTGTCAGAGTCAAGGCCCCCGAATCGGGGATGGGAATTGGGTAAAGGAAGTTGGCTTGGAAGCGGCCATTGCCATGGAACCACCCACCAAGTCAGCGGTTGAACTTCTTACATAACCGGGAGATTGGAGAACGAATTAGTATTAGCCACAAGTGCCTTGAGAGTGCCTGCAGACTTTTCAACCCCGACCAAGTAGTGCCTTCGATTAGAGAACCAAACAAACAAACCAAAATGTCGGGCAAAAACTATCAGCGCCAGAGCCTGGAGCTCCGGAGTCCGGACCATGGATCCGTGGACGATCCCGATGATGGTCGCTTGAGGAATCTCTCGGGTTCGTCGGCCAGCCAAAGGAGGCGGCAGCAGCGGGTGGCCCAGCAGCGCCAGGATTCCTGGTTCCGGCACTCCATGCCGCCGGCCATCAATCGGGACTTCGAATCCCTGGAGCACCTGACTCCCCGGGCTTCGGACGGCCTGGACGAGCAGCTGGCCGCCTCCGTGTCGCACAGTGTCCACAGCGGTGGCAGCGTAACGCTCTGCGGACCCACGGATCACTCCAGCATCCACCTGAACAGTGCCAACAGCAACCTGGGCTTCATCGACTCGGACACGCCCAACACGCCGGTGACCCCGATATCTGGACTGCAGCCGCAGGCATCGGTGACCACCTCGGTGGCCGGGACCATCTCCTCCCGTCGACGGTCGTCCCACCGCAAGGACTCCAAGGGCTCCATTTTATCGCGGCAGAGCGGCCGGAGTCGTGTTTCCGTTTTGGCACAGAGAGGCCTTCGAATGACCGCCTCCTTTCTGCGAAGGAAGCGAACCGAGTACGAAGGTGAGTGCGAGTGGTTGAGGGGTAGTTTGATGGACTCCCAAGTATTCCTGGCATTCCGTAGGCTAGTCACCATCTGTAGGCTGCTGTAGATGCTGCTAGTGAGTCGGGAAATGGGCAGTGTCGTCCCTCATTTTGTCGTCTTGGATCAATACCGTTGGCGCCTCGTAGTCGGGGGCTCGCTGGAGTGAGTGCTCGGTTTTTCACTGCCATTGCCTCCCGGAGATTTGTTTGCCAACTACCATACTTCGTTCGCCTAAAGACTACATTTTCGATTGGCCTGTTCGACATAAACAAACGTTTGCTCTAGCGGTTTTAACTGTTTGCGGCTTTCGACCAGATAAAAAGTTTATGGCCTTTTGTGCGCAATATAAATTTATTTTTGGCGGATTTAAATTGGTTGTTGGAAAACGTATTTTACTATCTATGCGGTTAAGCTTAACATGATTCTCATTTTTTTAATGGTGTTTTAATTAGTGTGGTTTCGTTAGTCAAACTTACTAAAAATGTTTGCTTTCATATTATTATGAAATTTTTCTTTATTATCAAATAGTAAAAATTTCTTAATAATTTACAACAGGAGTGATAAGCAAAGAAAACTTTAATATGTAAGAGTGCACTAACCTTATAGCAACAACCTTTAAATGTGCATATAAATTATTAAGAGTATTCTTGTCAAAGTAGTTTGTTAGACTACTTTGTCTAGAATATTCTTAAAATAGGAATAAAGTTTTTAAATTTGCAAGTGGAATTACAGGACAAGGTTAGCTGAATACAAAGATATTATATGTCATTCTTAAATAAATGTTTAAGATTGGTTATAAAAGTTGGTAATATAATGTTTACAAATTAAAAGTTAGCTGGAACTAAACTCCAGTTTACAAATCTCTTTGTTGTGCCCTGAAGTAGTAATGCTAACTTCAAGTGCACAACCTTCCGAAGTTCCTTGGTATTATAAAACTGAAATTGAAAAGAGTAATTCTGAAATGTGCAATGGAATAGAAAGAGATTTTGCATGTCATTCGCAGCCATGTCAGAGATATGTCACTCGACTGTACGACGGGGCGTTGAGTATGCAAACGCTGTAACAGGCTTACGATTGTCCTGCCCCGATTTCCCCCTCCCCTTCCCTTCCCCTCCTCTTCCTCCCGAAAGGCGAGGCCCCACCCAGATGGCTGAAAGCCCCCGTGGACTGACCCAGATTGCATGTTCGAGCGGCGTGGCCCACAGGAAGGGCACGTCCTGCTGCCGCATGTACGCCATTCGGGGACTGGATTCACAAGTCACTGCTGTTGAGCAGTCAAATGAGCGGAAGCAGCAGTAGAAAGTAGAAGGCCTTGCCAGCTGCATTTACGACTAAAACTTAGGTTTTATTTTATTGCGCTTAACATAAGCTAGACAGTGTTTTGAGCCGCCAGGACCCAACTCCTCAGTTCGGCCACATTGGCGTAGACGCCGGGATAGTTGGCCAGGGCGCACTCGTTTCCCCAGGAGACGACGCCCACCAGTTGTCCTCCGGATACCAGAGGACCACCCGAATCACCTTGGCAGGCATCCTTGTTCGCCGACGCGGCACAAATCATGGTGGGCAGAATCCAGGAACCATATCCATAGGTGGAACTCCCGCACTGTGTGCGTCCCACAATCTTGGTGTCCACATAGAGCAGCGTGGCGGAGGAGGATCCGCCGTAGGACGTCTTGCCCCAACCTGAGATGCTGGCCGAGGCTCCATGGGATGGTGTCACACTAGCCATCGTAATGGCCTTGATGGTGGAGCCAAAAGTCAGCTTCGACTGCAGACGCATCACTCCGATATCGTTCACCTTGGTCGCCGAGTTGTAGCCCTCGTGAATTTGTATGGCAGCCACTTGGATGAGAACTCCTCCGTAGGTTCTCTTATTGGAGCCAGCTCTAATCCTGAGGTTGGAGGCGGTGGAGGGGGAAACCAGGCAGTGGGCAGCGGTCACAATGATGTTGTTGCTGATTATGGATCCACCGCAGAAATGGGCGCCGGAACGCTGGACGGAAACCTGCCAGGGGCGATCCTCAATGGACGTGGCCGTGCCGCCCACAATGCGGCCAACCTGTCGAGATTGGGGCTCCAGACCCAAGGGAACCACAGCGCCATTAGCGATGGCCAGCAGGGCCAACAAAGTCGCAATCTGGAGGAACATGTTGATGGTGGAGTGCCTCAAACCTGGATGGCCAACTAACTGCACCCGAGGGCCTTTTATAGGCAGGGAACTGCGATTGCCACTGGTTGTGCGGATAAGGGAGTCAAATGACTTGGCCATATATTATCCGTATCAGTAGCCCCACCATCCGGCCATTTTGTTCAGGTGCTGGCAGGATTATTTGCCGATTTGCTGATTTGCTGATTTGCTGGTTTCAATTGCCTCTGTCTGGTTATCGATTTGTTGTTAACCAACTCGGTGAGATAGGTCAGTGGCAGAGCTTAGCCTTATCGTCCGAATGCCTGTTTTGACGTCTCCAGTGGGCCATAATCCATTCCCTGCTCTCTCCTTCAAACGACTGGGCCTTACCAATTGTAAATATTTCAAATGCAGATTACACTCTTTCCGCCCGGCGCACACAGAATACGTTGTAAATTGCATGTTCACTTACGTGCTTCGAATGGAATCGAAGGCCAAAATAGTCGTAATCAATGGAGAGTGTCTGATGCTTTTAATACGAACAAACAAAAAAATATAAATAAGTACAAATCATGAATAAGTGAAAGGCCATTTACTCAGGTTCTTTGCGAACCGTCGGACATGGGAAATGCATTAAAAACCACTATGACAGGTCCACAATCCTTTTCCCCCGACGGGAAAAGGACAGCCGTTTACCCTCCAATTAGGTTAAAAGTGTCACGTTCATTTAACAACTTCCGCTGGGGGTTTTGTGTTTGTTTGTACAGTGTGTTTGGCTTTTGCAATATGGTCGTCATGGTGGGCCGGAGTCATAAATTGGGCTTAGTTCTTCGTGTAGTAAGTCTTCGACTCTGGCGGCATGCTCTTGCGCTGGAAAAAACCATACACAAATCAAAATGAATTGCATGAGCTTGGGGTTTCCATACTCACCAAGTCGTTGTCCGGCATCAAGTGTCTTTTCCAGTTGGTGAAGTTATCCGAGTAGGAGAAGTACTCCACCACCCTGTTAAAAGTAACGCGTTTCTTGTTTTTCAAGGACTCATCTCCGTCGCCGTCCCCTCCTCGTTCCAGTGCTTTCTCCTCCCCCAAGATCAGATTTGGTTTACACTGCTCTTCAGACATGATTTCAATAATAGCAAAATATAAAATGTTAGTTTTAGAACTGCCTCGTTATAATATCAGGGTTTGAGTGCTATGTCAGGGTTACCACAGGTTGTTTTGATGATTTGAAACTGATTGGTAAAAAATAAAACACAATTTAGTTGGTCGAATTTTTGATCAAACAAATGGGAAAAGGAATACTTTGTAAAAAATTTTGTCAGAAGTGGGATTCGAACCCACGCCCTCAGAGAGGACCAGAACGCTCATACACTTTCGTTCGGAAAGCAAGATTTTATATCTTGAGTCTGGCGCCTTAGACCGCTCGGCCATCCTGACACATGTTTCCGCGGACAACCAAGATTTAACGGTAAATATGGCAAAGGAAAATTTTAAAAAAGCCTTAATATTAGGGATTTTACAATTTTTTTTGTCGAACTGTAAAAATGCATTTTAATGTGTTGCAGAGATAAGATAGCTCGCTGGTTAATGATTTTACATTTGCTTAGTAATTATAAAATTAAAGAAAGGCGTTCCATATTTTAAAAAAAAATTTCTTAAATTGTCTATTTTCTAACAAAACAATATTAAATTATTCAATTTATATTTTTGATCAAAAAGTTCTTGTCAGAAGTGGGATTCGAACCCACGCCCTCAGAGAGGACCAGAACGCTCATACACTTTCCTTCGGAAAGCAAGATTTCAGATCTTGAGTCTGGCGCCTTAGACCGCTCGGCCATCCTGACAGTTATTTTTGCGGGCACCTCAATTCTAAACCTAAGTAATGCACAGGAAAATGGGGAAAGCAGACCATAAATTTGGCTTTTCCCGGTTTGCCATTCTATTGTCTAAAAGCATTTTCAACTCGTTGCGCAGATAAGATCGCTCAATAAACCGTTTAGCTTGATTGCCAAAGCAAATTAAGATACCCCACACGCGCTAAAGTTGAGCAGCTAAAGGGACGGGTAATTCAATCATCCTTGATGGCAAATTGAATTGACATTTCACTTGGCCGCCCGCAAGAAATAGACCACGTTAGATCATCCTTGTCTGCTTTATGTGACATCATCGCAGGATACTTGGTGTCCCAACGTGCACGGCATGAGATAACATTAGCAGCCTTCCATAATTGGGCTTTGCTTATCTGAAACGTTCTCATCAAACCTATGGCAACTTTTTAATTTCCAAAGTGCATTAAAAAAAGACAAGAAGAATGAAAAAAAATTGAACGCTGGCCCATGAGGGGATCGAACCCGCGACCTTCGCGTTATTAGCACGACGCTCTAACCAGCTGAGCTAATGGGCCATGTGTGTTTGTTTGTCAAAAGTCTTACTTGTTTGTATAGATGACGTTACAGCCTGTTAGGCATTTTGTAAAACATTCTTTTAACAGAGTTGGGTTATGTTAGGTGCAGATGTTATACCAAAAAGCAGAACAGTTCTTATACTGTTATACACTATGTGCACGCGCACACAATTAGCGATTCGGACACGAGTGTGGCAAGTGTCAGGATGGCCGAGCGGTCTAAGGCGCCAGACTCAAGATCTGAAATCTTGCTTTCCTAACGAAAGTGTATGAGCGTTCTGGTCCTCTCTGAGGGCGTGGGTTCGAATCCCACTTCTGACAAATATTTTTTTTTTCTTTTTTTTTTTAGTAAAGGCTTTTAAAACATTTTGAATACTATGTTTAGTCAATATTTGTTTTGTATTTATGTTACGTAATGTTAAATTTGTTTTAATAAAAACATTTTGTTAATAAAAACTCATTAAGTTTCACTACCCGTATTTTAACTGACCAACTCTAAGTCGTGTGGGATTATTTAACATCGCTAGCGTATTGGCTAACGCGAAATCAAGTGTCAGGATGGCCGAGCGGTCTAAGGCGCCAGACTCAAGATATGAAATCTTGCTTTCTGAAAGAAAGTGTATGAGCGTTCTGGTCCTCTCTGAGGGCGTGGGTTCGAATCCCACTTCTGACAAAATTTTTTTTGCATTTGCTAAATTAAATAAGCATACCGACAATAAATAAAACTTTTTTGGTATATGTGTTTATTTAAATTTTAATTGAACTATGTTCCTATGTATACTTCTGCAGATATATTTTGTCTGTTTGTCTTGGTTATATATATATTGAATTACATTCTGTATTTATAAAAATGCTGCAATATCATTTGTATTAAAAATATTAAAAGCTTTTCCTGTTGAGACTATACTTTGATTTTTGACTTTTATAGGCTAGTTAACGCAGCTTTCGCCACTTAATCGTATTTTGGCAAGCAAACATGCATGGCCCATTAGCTCAGCTGGTTAGAGCGTCGTGCTAATAACGCGAAGGTCGCGGGTTCGATCCCCTCATGGGCCATTGTGATTTTTTTTTAAATTTATTAGCGCCTACTTAAATTAAAGGATGATTATCTTTTGGGTTGGTCCTTGGGTCTCTCAAATCATTTGTCAGCCTGACACTTGTCCTTCCAGATCCGGCATCCCGATGTGTGATAACTAATTACCGCGCGTGTTGCGTGTATGTAAATCTTGATAAACCATTAGGGGAGGTAAAAAAGGGCCAACGCTGGCCGAAATTGATTTCTTGAGCGGGAGTAACCGCGGCATGGCAACCCACCTTCGCCCGCCGCCCGCTAATACGAAATCCAAAATCCGCCTCACCCCACAGAGGCAAACACTTGATGCCTGGTTGCTCTGTTGCTTCGCCACTCGGCGCTCTCTGCTGCTCAGTTGTTTGGTTTAGTTATTTAGCGTTTTGGTGTTTCAGTCGCTTTTCGAACCGCCAAGCAAAAAGTCGTGCCAGCGCACGGACGCCTTTTGGACCGGTTAACGAGGTCGACGTGTTGAGCCAACGCGAATTGTTACTGGCGAATGTAAATACTGGATATCCGATAACTAAGTCAAAGTGTTCGACTGACTTTCGGTGATCTCAGTGATGCACAGTCATCCGAAACACAAATAGCTTTCGGATATTAGTGACGGTTTTTATTTGTTTTCGTTTCACTAAACACTCAAAAACCCGTGCCGCGAAAGGTCAAATGTAATTATCCGTACACTTGGTGGCACATTTGGTGCATGGACAACCACCGTACAGCGTGTTTCGTATGCACGAAAATAAATGTTGCCGCGTCAATTTATCGTTTGATTTTCATAAGCTATGCTGTGCTACGACCAATGAAGAGTAGCAGCTGTATAATCAAATGTTCGGGCACAGTGAAAAAAAATTTAAGGCAATAAGGGTTTCTTATTTGTGGATTGCAAACACTTAATCAAAAAAATGGTGGAACAGCGTAGGAAATACAAGAAAGCATGCTACGATCAAATAGTTTTCAAGTGGGGATTACAAAAAAAAACTTTATTAAAATGTAAAATATTTCTATCTTAAAGCACAGAATTTCTACCCATAGTGGGCGGTACTTTTTCTCCATGTAAAAACAAATACAGCGTGGAAAGGCAAATTGGAGACGCGCTTTATTGTCATCCATTCATTGGCTACGGCATAGAAAGTCGATTCGCTTTCGTACCGCTATTCTCCGGTGCTCTCTCCTACTCTCTTACCATCTCCCGATCCTCTCTCTCTCTCTGTTAAGTACCGCTCTTTCTTTTGTTTTGCAACTGCAATTGTTGTTAATTGCAAATGCTGTTCAGACCAGTTTTCTTTGCCATTCGTCGGCGTCATCGGCTGTACGCTCTTTTCCCTTTTATCGGGCATTAGCCGCACTTTTAGTTGCATGTGCGAACCGATTTACTGGTAAATTGCATTCGACCCACTGAAATCGAGGGGCTTGCAGATCGGATCGGTTAGTGGCATCCGTTTAGTACTAAACGAGATAGTATGTCATTACTAAATCAGCGAGCTGAAAGCCAACAGTTCCACAGACTCGAAGGTAAACGCCAGTGAGTCAGTTCGTCATCGTTGTGACACATACCTTTCATACAAATTAAGTGCCATATAGTATAGTTAATCCCCAGCTGATCAACGGCCGTCGGCTGCCAAATGCGTTGCTGTGTAGAAAGTTTTTCTTTTATAATTTTCGTCACTTTTGTTTTCATTTGCCAAACTCAAATTAATTAATTTAAAGGTAAGAAGGGAAAACAAAAAAGTTGTGTGCTAAAAATACGGGAAAATTAAAATAAGTGACTTGGCGACTTCGTCACGCTGCCCTGCACTTTCCATGCAGGTGGGAAATTAAAGGGGTCCCCACCCCCAATTCGACTCACCCTGCTCTTATATAAGAACACTCGGCTAGTAATCTAGCCTGGCATTAGCATTAGCCGAACTGAAGTTTAGTGAGGGGGTGTTCCATGGAATGCGGTTTGCTTTTTCGCAGGGGGCCAACTAAACAAACGATGACACAGCTAAGTAATGTTGGTCGATTGCCAATAATTTCGTATCGATTGTGAGTGGACGCCTTTGTCGTCTTGAGGATCCCACTTCGCACTCTCCCCCAAAGGCGATGACACTGTCGGTCGTTCTCCGTGTATTTTGTATCTGTTTACTTTTCACAGATAAGCAGTACAAGTACAGAAATTGTGTCGGAAACTCATTACTGCCGGGTCATAATTATCACGTCTCTTGTCGGGGGAAAAACATTCCCCAAACTCATTGCCAGTCGAGTGTTAAACCGCTTTGTACAAGTACAAGTGCGGCCAAAATGTTTAATTTAAGATCCCAGGCCTGCGGGATTACGACAGGCATATAATTAGTTCTGTTTGGATACAGTAAAGATTGTTTTTCCCTTACAGTATGCACTCCACTTTGGCATTCCTGCGGTCGGTGGATTTATATGAAATCCACAAACAAGTAAATTCGCTTGGAATTCATCCAAAATACCTACTTATTTCTATGTCTATGGTGGTATTTTTAGCCGCCGTCGCGGCTGGCAGAATAAATTTTAATAGCGTCGCGAATACATTTTTCTTGCCACATATGTTTACGAGATACATCTACTTGAACCGACTTACGTCAGACTCCATAAGCGAAAGAAACAATAAATATAAACAATAAAAATACAAGCAGTTTTCCCTTAAAGTAGTTAGATGCAGCTGCACGTGTGGAATAAACCGCTGGCCATAAATATTAAAGGCTAATTTCCTCTAAGTCCGATTGAGTATATAATTTAGTCGATTTTCCTGCCCAGGTGTAATTGCGTTGGTTTGTTTGTACCAAGGCCATCGGGAGTTGATTACCGGTAGGGGTACATATAAGCTCACAGAATGCAAGGCACTTCCCAAGAAACTGGAGCAATCGATAAACCCCGACGACCCTTACGGCTGCAGTTGCCATTCAGGAATCCAAATCCAATTTTCCGAATCCCCACACACTCGTGCTCCGCCACCGGGAAATCCTTTGACAATCGAATCCTTGATGGGCGTTTTAATGACTCTGCGGGTGCCATAATTTGCCTTGTTGTTGTCATTATTGTTGTTGTTGCTCCGGGTGACCATATAGTTATGGCCGGAAAACACGTAGCCTACACGTACGTACAGTGCACGCAAATAGAATACTTCGTTTATCTTTTGGCCAGCGCAGACAGCCAAAAAGACGCTTCGTTAGCTTCCTGGTTTGCGAGGTCGATGGTCGCAGGTTTCTCTCTTTTTTTTTTATTACCACCCACCACCCACTCCCCTAATCATGTTTTAATTTCTTGATGAGTGTGTGTCTACCTGTCGTGTTTACTTTCCCGCACGAGTCGAGTTCCCGCGGGGAAATGGTCGGTTGTTCAGGTTAATTAATGCAAAGTAAATTGCACAGGCACTGAATCAAAGCGACTGTGCAAACAGATTGAAAGGACATCAGATCAGTGAATGCCATTTTGAGCTGTGCTTTGATGGTTTGATTTGTCCGATGGCGCCCTTCTTCACTTAATGACAACTAAATTACCCCTTCAAGTGGGCAGTAAATCAATAGAAGGCAATAAAAAAAAATGGTTGCAAAAAAAATGAGTTTCAAGGTGATTAAATTATTGCATTTTTAGTGAAACTCTCATTGAAGCTCTCGTTTTTTTTTTTTAGCTTAACGAGTTATAACTTATTTACTTTCTGTGAAATTTTACGCTTGTTTTCAATTCAAGTTTACAATGAGAATATATATAGGACGGGTTTAAACCAGAATTTTGAGTCACAGTAATTAGCGCATGTTAAGTTTTTCATTCATTTTTGTTGGTTATAACTGCAGTTGTTTTTAAACAAAAGATTGCGTTTATAACAAGATGAAATGATTTCACAAGCAATTTTATTCTCTTTAACTTCGTTAAGTGTAATGAGGATGACTTAATATGAACAATTTGGAGGTTTTATAAACAATTTTAAGTACTAGTTGCATCAACGCAGCAAGCTTTTGAAAATCAAGCAATAAATCGCCAAGTTCGAATTAAAATGACACTTAAACGCCAAATCCAAAGTGCAATACAATTTCGCGATTGCGAAAAGTCTCCACGGTCCTTCGACTAAAGTCCCCCCCACTAATTAAACCGTGTTCGTGTCGTACGAAACAGATAAGATCCGGAAAAAAGTGAGTGAAAAGTGTGCGGAAGTAATTGCAGTGCGATTCATGTGAGTCGCGGAGCCATGTTAGAATGGCGGACTCCGGCAAAAACGAGAGTGGCACACACAACGGGTCCCAAAATGGGCGCAACGGGCGCAGCGGACACAATCGGGGGCGCCGGCAGCCGGAGTCCTTGGAAAATCCGACCGCCGGCCAAGCCGCCTTCGACGCCCGCAGCCTGTGGCCCAGTTTGCGTTCCTGGATCGGCGGCGGTGTCCGGCGGCTGAGGAGCCAGCTCCTCCGGCGGACAGCCACCACGGGACCGGAGAGGACGATGACCGGCGGCGAGGACAGACTGCCCAGGCAGGAGGACACCAGCAATCGGGATGGTGTTTCCCACAGTGGAACCGGTGCCACGGAAACCGATGGCGGGAATCCCCATCGGAGGCTCAATGAATCGACGGGGAGCGGCAGCCGGCAGTCCCTGAAAAGTTTACTCAGAAAAGCCGGAATCGGAAAGAAAAAAAGAAAAGGTGCTTTTTCATATTTTATTGTGTAGTGTAAACAAAAATTGATCCTGATTCCTGAGATCTTTTTATCATCTCAGCTTACTGAGCATCAGCATGTACAATAACGTTTCAACTTTTCTTTCATTCTATTATGGGAATACAAACTAGAACATTATACTCAAGTACAATTGTAATTTTTATCTTTTTTAACTTTTTTGTGTAGTTTTTGAGATATACTAGGTTCTATAAAAACTATATAACGATAAGCCCTACGACTACTTGTTGTTCCAAGGGACTGAATTTGTGAATATGGGTCACAACAATATTTTTATAAATCTTGAGAATACGCAAAATTCAAAGTGTTTATTTGATTGTGCAAACCACATTTGGTTTCGTACTTCTAGATAAATTGAGGGTATAAAACCACTTGATAATATTCTTACAAAATTTCTGAAGCTTGCTGGTCGAAAACCTATGAAGATTGTACTTGTAGATTAATTTAGGGTAAGCATAAGGTCGAGTTTTTTATTCTTTTGCATAAGTTCTCCGTTATTTTTGAGCTTTTGATCCAAAGCGCAGGCGCGTACTCTTTCCGTTCTCTCTTTTGGCTCCCCTTCCCCTTGTTTCTCGTTCTTTGTTTTGCTAACACCTTTCGCTTTCGCTTTTGCTCCTGCACTTTGAAAACACCCCCTCCCCTTTCCCCCCGAGTCGCCCATTTCCGCGGGAGGTACGCAATGTTTTGGGTTTGCTGATAATTCGTAAGCTTTATAAGCTCCTTTTTAGAATGCACTACGCAGCTTTGGGGGTTTGGAGGGGTGGACCCAGGGGGTTTCCAACCTGAGCGTAAAACGGGTTACCTACCCCGCCACTCTCCCCTCCCCTCTTCCCCTCCCCTTTCTGTCTTTTCTGGGTCCTTCGAGCACGTTGAAATTTCATTTCAGTCGTAGTATCGGAGCTCAGGAGAGCGCACGTAGTGAAAAGTTCGGTGTGAAAGTGTGCTTTCCCTTGGCAAAATATTATGTACCTTTGAAGGAACTTTCAGCAATTGTTTGTCAATCAGTGTCCCTCCATCAATTATCCAGGATATTCACTCCCTAAAATCGAATCCCCGGGCTCAAGTTAACCAGTAAATCACGTGCTTTTGAGCCAATCAAAATAATTGCGACAAATCGATACCTGGAATCGGAAGATAAAGTTCAGGCACGTTGCCAGGTGATGGATGCGGAAATGCCAAAAGGCCAAGATGTTGGGCAGGAAAACCAAAGGATCCAATTGAAGTAGTTGAACTAATGCTTGTCCAAGGGTATTCCCTTCCTGGCTGTGTGTATATGCAAATGTGCATGCCGAAGAATCCCCCATTCGGGATGGAAAATGTTTTCCCTTGCACGCAGTGATTGAAAAAAGGGAGCGCAGGCGCCATCCCCAAGGAGCAAACTCTTATACGACTCGCAAGTGACACGCCCACTTGTGGCGCGTTATCCTTGCATCCGTGGTCAAGCATCCATCCTGGGGTTTCCCAAGCGCAATCAGGAGGAGACCGCCGGCGAGAGCATTGCCTTCGTGCCCGTGGGCGATTGCGACTCTGGATCCGACGAGCTGCCCGGTCCCGAGGAAGCGGAAGCGGAAGCGGAGGAGGAGGAGGAGGAGGCGCTGCCATCGGTGCCAGCGGCGCCATCTGCGAATCGATCGGGACCCTTCCGGTGTCCCGCCCTCTTTCGCCGCGCCAACATGGACTTTCGCAATGTCTACAAGGCGATGCGGATTCGTTGGAGTCGTAAGTTCAGAGAATACCCGTAAAAGTATCTCAACAGTTTCAAAACAAGAAATAGTTTACTCAGGTTGAAATCAGAAGTTTACCATAAGGTTAATAATCTGATATTGATATTGGCAATACTGAATTTGTAGGAACATAGACCACAGTCAAAACTTAAATTAAAAGGTTCTTAAAAAAATAAGTTGAGAATTATAGTATGTAATCAAATCTCAGAAGTTGAAATGATTCCGATGTATTTCATGATGTGTTTTAATTGATCTGGAGCATTAGTTAATCTTTTCTTAAATAGTTTTTTTTAAGTTTAGTTTTAGTTTTGTAGCTTTGTAGCAGGCCAAGCGGGCCTAGCCACTAACTTCTTTCTGGACCCTTCCCTTCCAAAATTGTTCATTAAAACTTCGCTTACGATGCTGGTGAGCTGTCCCATCGTCTGTCCAGTGAAGATTCTGATCGAGGCGCTCAAGAAGCACCATGTGATCCCTCGGTTGCTGGCCTGCAAGCCAACGGCGGTGATCGATGTGCAATATCCCTGCGATATAATGGTCCATCCGGGCCGGGTAATAGTGGTCAACGAGGTGCTCAAGCAGCCGATCGTCCGGTTCAAGGCTGACCCGGATCGGTTCTACACCCTGATGATGGTCGACCTGGATGTGCCGCCGGATGGCGAGTGGCTCATCTGGCTGGTGGGCAACATAGCGGGCTGCGACCTGGCCTTGGGCCAGACTTTGGCCGCCTACGACCTCCAGCGAGGGATGGTGGGTGTGAACATCCATCGCATCGTGTTCCTGGCCTATCAGCAATATCTGGAGCTGGACTTTGACGAGGTCCTCATTCCACAGCGCGAGGAAAAGGGTCGTGAGCAATTTAACTGCAATCGCTTCGCGAGGAAGTACGCCCTGGGAAATCCCATTGCCGCGAATTTCTTTCAGGTGGAATACGTTTGGCGGTGGACCCCCACGTTTTTGCAATTCGAAAATGAATAAAAAGGGGTTCAAAATAACTTATTTATTTGTGTCTTACTTTTTATCATTTTTGTGGTTTGCAAATATACCAGAATATATCTATCTAAAATTTTTATATTATCAGTGGTTTTGAGGTCTCTTAATTTTTATGATTATAACTCATCGTTGGGAGTAGATATTCCCATTCACCAAATTATATATAGAATGTGATATCAATAATATATTTTTATTCTTTATTGTTCTAAACCGGAAAGTTAATTTCTCCCTAAACCCATTATCATTTTTGTGGTTTGCAAATATACGAGAATATGTCTACCTAAAATTTGTATATTATCAGTGGTTTTGAGGTCTTTTAAAATGTGATATTTATTATATTCTTATGATTATAACTTATCGTTGGGAGTGGATATTCCCATTCACCAAATTATATTTAGAATGTGATATCAATAATATATTTTTATTCTTTATTATAGTAATTATTTTAAACCCTAAACCCAATATTCATATTTTATCTGCATCAGTTACTGCTAAAAAGTGTAACGATTGTTATCATTAATAGTAGCATTCAGCATACAGATATCAGGTAACAATCAGCGATAACTGGCGCCAATAAATAGAGTATGCAGTTAATAGAGACATTGTTGGTTTTAGTAGCCCCATTTTGATATCGCCTATTAACCTCCCATTCAATGGATACTTGCAGATGATGAGGACTTCACCTCGTCCGCCGGCTACGATGCAGATGATGGAGAGAGGCGTGTCATAAACCTAAATGGGCCGCAGCCCACTAAGTACTGTAATAATCGCATAACGACGGCAAAATATAGGTGAGTGCCCCCCAATTTAACACTTATCACCAATTGTGACCCAAATTAATGGATTTGGTGACCGGAATTACTAACATTTTGTCTCGTTGGCTTGCAGTTTCATCAGCTTTTTGCCCGCGTTTCTGTTCGAGCAGTTTAGGCGGTACTCCAACTGCTTTTTCCTGCTAATTGCCATACTGCAACAAATCCCGGAAGTATCGCCCACGGGTCGTTACACCACGTTGGTCCCGCTGATGTTTATCCTCTCGGTGAGCGCCATCAAGGAGATAATTGAGGATATTGTAAGTACTTCGATACAAAGTGCATTCCTCTGCCAGCTAAATAAATATTCATTTAATTTCTTTTAGAAACGACATCGTGCGGATAATGAGATCAATCACAGATTGATTGAGCGCCTGGATAGTGGCTCCTGGAACACAGTCCGCTGGTCGGAATTGACGGTTGGTGACATCATAAAAGTGGGGATCAACTCCTTCTTCCCCGCCGATCTGATTCTCCTGTCGTCCAGGTATTTTTTCCAATTAAACCCAATCAACAGATCAATAGACACTGACCTCCGAATCGATTTCAGTGAACCACAGGCCATGTGCTTCATAGAAACAGCCAATCTGGATGGCGAGACGAACCTGAAGATCCGACAGGCTCTGCCAGCCACCGCCGGTCTCCTGGAGACGAAGGACCTGCAGCGCCTGGAGGGCAGGATCGAGTGCGAGATGCCCAACAGGCACTTGTACGAGTTCAACGGGGTGCTCAGGGAAACCGGAAAGCCGTGAGTAACTAGTGTATAAATAGCGGGTAATGAAAAAGTTCGACATACGCAAAACAAACAAACTAATTCTAGAACATGTAAACATGCATTTCACAGTTGTGAAACTTATTTAAGGAACGCTGAAACGTTCGAGATTTAATCTTGATTTTAATGACAGAGAGGCGGAAATGTAAATACTACATATTTCCGTGAGGTTCAAAAATAAGTTTGATATTTGTTTCCTTAAAGAATTTATAATTAAAGAAATGATTAAAAACTTTAATGATTTTTACATTTGTTCAGCTTCAATTTAAAATATTTAAAATAAATCGTATTTTATTTTAACAAACATATATATTCTTTTATATTTACTCATGGTTATCTCCCTTCTTTTGCAGTCCAGCTGCTTTGGGCAACGACCAGGTGCTGCAGCGCGGCGCCATTCTGAGGAACACGGCGTGGGTGTTCGGCATCGTGGTCTACTCCGGCCAGGAGACGAAGCTGATGAAGAACTCTACCTCGGCGCCGCTGAAGCGCTCCACCGTGGACAAGCTGACCAACACCCAGATCCTCATGCTGTTCATGATCCTCATCTCGCTGTGCATCACCAGCGGACTGTGCAATCTCTTCTGGACGCGGGAGCACTCGGAGACGGACTGGTACTTGGCGCTCACCGACTTCCGGACCAAAAGCCTCGGCTACAACCTGCTGACCTTCTTCATTCTGTACAACAACCTGATCCCCATCTCGCTGCAGGTGACCCTCGAGTTAGTCCGCTTCCTGCAGGCGATCTTCATCAACTACGACATCGAGATGTACCACGAGCAGTCCAACACGCCTGCGATGGCGCGTACCTCGAATCTGAACGAGGAACTGGGCATGGTGAAGTACATCTTCTCGGATAAGACGGGCACTCTCACGCAGAACGTGATGGAGTTCAAGAAGTGCTCCATCGCTGGTTATGTTTACACACCGGAGAGAACGCCCGAGGAATCGCAATTGGTGCAGAACATCCTGAGTCGCCACCAGACGGCTGCGGTGATCGAGGAGTTCCTGGTCCTCCTATCCGTGTGCCATACAGTGATCCCCGAGAGGAAGGAGGATGGCACCATCATCTACCACGCCGCCAGTCCAGACGAACGAGCTTTGGTGGAGGGTGCCAATAGGTTCGGTTACATCTTCGACACGCGCACTCCGGAATACGTGGAGATCAATGCATTGGGAGTGAGGAAGCGTTACGAGGTGCTCAACGTCCTGGAATTCACCTCGACCCGAAAGAGGATGTCGCTGATTGTTCGCACGCCGGACAACAAGATCAAGTTGTTCTGCAAGGGAGCGGATACGGTGATCTACGAGCGGTTGGCTCCGCAGGGACAAGCTTTCCGGGAACAGACGCTGCGGCATTTGGAGGAGTTCGCCTCGGATGGTTTGAGGACACTCTGCCTGGCAGTGGCCGATATCCGACCGGATGTCTACCAGGAATGGCGACAGACCTTCGACAAGGCATCGGTGGCCCTGCAGAATCGGGAGAGCAAGCTGGAAGATGCCGCCAATCTGATTGAGAATAATCTGAGATTGTTGGGAGCCACGGCCATTGAGGATCGGTTGCAGGATGGTGTGCCGGAGACGATTGCCTCACTGCTGGATGCTGGAATCTACATCTGGGTGCTAACCGGCGATAAACAGGAAACGGCCATCAACATTGGCTACTCCTGCCGGCTAATCAGTCACTCAATGGATATTATCATCCTCAATGAGGAGAGCTTAGATGTTAGTAAAAGTTTTATATATTAAAGGGGATTTCTTTTAATTCTTAAGTAAAATATATTAATGTTTTAATTTCATTTCCCAGGCCACCCGCGAAGTAATCCATCGTCACTATGGAGAGTTCAAGAGCTCTTCGGCCAAGGACGCAAATGTGGCTTTGGTCATCGATGGCACCACTCTGAAGTACGCCTTGAGCTGTGATCTGCGGAATGATTTCCAAGTGCTCTGCCTCCTGTGCCGCGTGGTCATCTGCTGTCGCGTGTCGCCGATGCAAAAGGCCGAAGTGGTCGAAATGGTCACCCAGAGCACGAACGCAGTGACCCTGGCCATTGGCGATGGGGCCAACGATGTGGCCATGATCCAGAAGGCGAACGTGGGCATTGGAATTTCTGGAGTGGAAGGTCTTCAGGCGGCCTGTGCCTCGGACTACTCGATTGCCCAGTTCCGCTACCTGCAGAGGTTGCTCCTCGTCCATGGAGCTTGGAACTACGCGCGGATCTCCAAGCTGATCCTGTACAGCTTCTACAAGAACGTCTGCCTGTACGTGATCGAGCTGTGGTTCGCCCTCTACTCCGGATGGTCGGGTCAGATCCTCTTCGAGCGCTGGACCATTGGTCTGTATAATGTGCTCTTCACGGCCATGCCGCCGTTCGCCATGGGACTCTTCGAGAAGTTCTGCACGGCGGAGACGATGATCCGCTATCCGCTGCTCTACAAAACCTCGCAGAATGCCAAGCTCTTCAACGTGAAGGTGTTCTGGATTTGGATATTCAATGCGCTGCTGCACTCGGTGTTCCTCTTCTGGCTGCCATTGGCTGCTTATGCGAAGGAGGTTATCTGGAGCGATGGCAAGACCAGTGATTACCTGATGATGGGCAATCTAGTCTATACGGTAAGGGAGCTTTGAATACCTTATCTAGATTTTTTGATTTAATAAAGTATAATGCTTGTTTATTTTCAGTATGTGATTGTAACAGTTTGCCTGAAGGCCGGACTCATCACGAACTCGTGGACCTGGCTGACGCACCTGGCCATTTGGGGCTCCATAGTCCTGTGGTTCGGCTTCCTGCTGATCTACAGCCATGTTTGGCCAACGTTCAAGTTCGCCAGCAATTTTCGCGGCATGGATATCCAGCTGCTCTCCACGCCAGTTTTCTATTTTGGTTTGCTGTTGGTGCCCATCACCACGCTGCTGGTGGATGTTATCTGCAAACTGTGAGTTTATGGGATTAAATACCTGAAATACAAGGTTTATCTCTGGTTTTTATTGCAGTGTACACAACACGGTGTTCAAGACTCTCACGGAGGCCGTTCGCGAAACCGAAATTCGACGCAGCGACATCTCCGAAGTGATGAACGAACCGCGATCTTCGTAAGTATCGAAGCAATCGCCTTCCAGACAAAATCCGTAGTCACGCTTTTCCTCCGGACCGGAGGTTCCCCCTACATACCTCCATATGTATTTAGTTTTTGTTTGTCCAAAAACAACAAAACAAAACCAAACTATACTTTCAATTTGAATTGTTGCGCATTTGCTGAATATTAACTAGACCCCTAAGACGTTGATATTTCTACAACCCTAATATCCTATCAAACCCGAAATCAAAAACAAAAAAATTAAGGCTGATTGAACATATGTGCCTGCACTTCAGTATCCTGCTTCTTGTAGTTATTGCACCAATATCGATACCTATCTTAGTTATTATTTAGCGTTTGTTTGGGTCATATATGCATTAACTTAATCCAATCCATTCCGTTTCGCACTGCCACCTCCTCGAATTGTGTTTGTTCAACTTTCGATGTATGTTAGTGCTTATTATGTGAAACCAAAGTATCTTCTTGAATATTGGCCACCGAAAATTGCTCCAAAAGTACCTAGAAACGAACACACAAAGTTTAACTAAATGGAACACGAAATGTAAGCCCAGGATAAGAAACCTGAAATCGTATTAACCGATCACACAGTGAAAAAGACAAAGACAAGGAAAACTACAAAAAACTGACATAGTATTAGCGGATAAATGTGTAAATAGTTTTAGAGACTAGAGTAAGACAAGTTGTTAAACACCTTTTCTTCTCGTCATTTGTTATTCCCTCACGGTGTTAAATCATATATACCCTCTTTTAATAAATATAATATATCACAACTAGCTTATGTAAACTATCCAACTTGAAGCCGAACCTTAGATCTAAATGTTATGTATTTAGCCTAGTTTGATACGCATTCTGTAGACCTTATTGAGCAATTTTGAATGCAATTAAAATTTTATTTGGACATACAATTGGCTGTGTTGAGAGGTGATCTCGCCCATCGTGAATCATTGAATAAAATCAGCGCATTTAAAGAGACAAACACAATTTTATTGAGTTAAGACAACAAAAACAAAACAGCCAGCATCAATCAGAATCAGAATCAGAATCAGATTTACTCAGTGTTCGACTGCATCACCATGAGCAAGTATCTAATGAACTGAAATCCCTAAAATGTAATCTCTCTGTCTTCCTTTATCCTTCATCAATCCCCCGTCGGCGTCGATGATTGAATCCCCATTGAATCCCAATCACCATGCAATCAATCCATCCATAAATCCCCATTCAAAATCCCTGCACGCACTAGTGACTCTGGTTTCGGATACGCCCTCGGCAAGTTGGTGCGGTCCAGGCACGTCCTGATCTCGCAGGACCTGCGTCCCAACCTGGAGTCGGGCTCCAGTGTGGAGTCCAATCTGCGGGTGGAGAACCTGGAGCTGGAGGTGGACACGGAGCAGCAGCAGCGCAACAGGCAGCGGCAGAAGTGGCGCGGTGGTCAGCTGCAGCAGCTTGAGGCTCCCGGCAGGAGGAGAACCACCGCCAGCTCACCCACCACGGCCACGCTGCACATGTGAACGGACGGAGGCAATTCGAATTATTTTTTTAGATTTAAATCCCATGTATCTGATAAGTGTGTGCATAATTGTATAGTATTGTAATATGCATTCCGAGCGGGACTATTTCCCGACTCCCGCATCGAGTACCTCCTAAGGATCATATCATATACCCATTTGTGTACATATATGTCAGGACTCGAGAGCGTAGTCTACTATATACATCGCATTCTGTATGTGCTAACCAAACATTTTGCCAACTGTGATAGTGTCTAAGGAGTAGCCAGGTGGTTAGGCACGTAGGATAGGCCAATAATCAGGGAATGTTCCTTTGTGAATCATTCGTCATTTCCGCGGAGTTACTTTGTGTATTTATAATCGTACCTTATTATGTGTTTAATGGATGTTTAACTTATAGTACACTTTTAAGAGACTTGTCAGGTTGTAAAAACGTTGAAAACGAAACCCCAGTCACGAATGTTCCGTTCGATCCTACTAAAAACAATCTATGATTAACCAACCAACCAACCAACCACCAACCGATATACATACTCATCCCAACGTTATTGGAATGTGATGGTACCCAGATGATATGTATGTATCAGTTTTGAATATATGTATCCCGCACCGTCCACCCCAGATCGCATGCAATTCGATTCGGCCAATGATACTATAATCTATATACTAACTGTATGGCTGCTGATTGATTTTAACCGATCTGAAACGATACGCTCTGCACTTATGTTCTATGTACTTATGTTTTATTTTGTATTACTCGACACACACACACTTAACCAATCACAACCAACACCTACACCTACGCAGAACCCAAACACACCCAACAAACAATAACTAACCAATATATAATTTAATAAAAGTCAAAGAGTCAACAGCAAAATTCTGAAAAATGTCTATTTGAAATTTCTCTGAACGTTCTCTGCGCAAATGTCTGTGTGCGCAGTACCATGTATGCCTTGGGATCGATCATTCGGTGTAAGTAAATCGTAGATCAAGATGACAATCCACATCCACACCCACCAAGACACGATACACCCACTCAGTCACATCGCCCAGTCATAGGGTAAACTACAATTAACAGCAGGAAGATGTGTAGATAGGTCAGGACCAAAACTTGTATAACACCTTTTATTGTACGGAAATTATCATTTACTTTGTAGCGTCAAAGATTCGTTGTAATTTTTTATATCTCCAGACCGCATCGTATTCCTTTTATTTGCCAAACCTTAAACCCTAAACCTTAAAGTATGTAGGCTCTACTCCATTTATTACGTATTCTGCATGCCCCTTCAATTTGGTACACACCTCGTTGCTCATCCTGATTTGATTATATCGTACGTATGCTCCTCTGCCCAAGCCAAAGATATTGAACTGGGATTGTAACTCCTTTGTAACTGCCAAGAACTGTGTAAAAAACGTGCTAACAATTCAAACTGGAAACCCATTCCCAAATCAAATTGAAACCCCTTACTAAAACCATATCCGAACCGCTCAAAAATTAACCCAACAGATTATCGGAAACGGCCCGGCTGCTACGTAATGTCTTTACACGTCGTGCCAACACGAGGGTCGAAACGGAGCTAGAACTATCGCGTGAGTACCACTCAGTTCCAGGACATAGAAAACTAGAGCTAGGACTCGTCGTCGAGCAGTAGGTCGGCATCCCCCGGGAGGCGGGTTTAACTAACTTTTAGTGGGTCAACTACTGGGTGGGAAGAAACACTCACACATTACAGATTCCACACATGACATCTTCCCTTCTATTTTATGCAATAGATATTAACTAAACCTATTGTATTCCCCCCCAGATGGCTATGCATTTTCCCAGGAGGAGGGCGGAGCTGTGCCGCAGTCTATCATCATTCGTGCCTATGATACGAATCTACCAAAGCCCGAGGGAAACTAAACCGGAAGTGCTGCGAGTACGGATCTCACGGTGCACATGTACATAGGAAACATAGGAAACCAATCGCAAGGAGCAGCTACAACACTTAGATTTCAATCGGCATCTAGACTTCACCAGATCATAGCACACTTCTTCTGGTAGGCCAAAGAAAAAGCACACACATCAAATTTATTCTCTATGTGTCTTACACTAAAATGCGTTAATCAGAAAATCTTTCTTAGAAGCCACAGAACATTGAATTTGCGCATACATATTACTATATCTACGTTTATCTATCTTTGCTGTTATTTATTTTGTAAGATCGCGATGGAAAAGAACATATTTAAGAGGCTAGAGCTCGGTCTTTCGTATCTGTCCCCTGTCCTTGGCGCTGCTTTGTGATAAGGATACAGACTTGCATTCTTTTTTAAAGTCTATCTCTAAGTAAACTGTAAACATTTGTACCTACATATGCATTACATTATTGTGAATTTTCAAAAACATATTGATGTCGGCAAAGATTCTGTATTTTTGCGGTCGCTGGACCGCTGATATTCATAGGAATAAATCATATTTCTCGTACGTCATGGTTGGCTTTTTGTGTGGGGTGGGAAAAATTCAAATTCAGCATTGAACTTTTTCGTTGGCGCCCTATTTAACTTTAACAGTGCGGTTAACAGCACAGTGTGTACACACATTGTTTCGGGAGTAATCTTTCACTGTGTTTTGGAGGTCTGGCAACTTTATCGCATTGCACTCTACACATCTGGCAACTCCCTGGAAATAGTTTCAAGATTTTTAAATATTTCTTATAGATTTTAATTCGAAAGCTGGGAAAAAAAAATGTATTTTAAGAATGGTGGAAAAGAAGATCTACATTTTAAATATTTCTTTAAGATTAAGAATGTTAACGTAAGTACAACGTTCTCGAAATGTTATTGTTAATTTTTCTGGCAGAACAATTTTTATCAAATACCTATACCCTTGCTTATTATAATTAAGATAGAAAAAACAGAAATAAGTTTAATTAAGGTGTGGGTAACGGTTTTAATTATTACCGCCAAACATTTGAAAACACTAAATGATCACCGAAGCGTTTTCTAACCCTAAAATCTCAAGCCGGGTTTTGTTATCGCCAGAATTTTATGTAAACAAAAGAAAATTGCGATCAGCTCCATGGTAAGAATCCCATTGTTATTTTTAAGTTTTCTGCTTATTTATAAATACCTGCAGATTAGCTTAACCCTCCTGGTCGTTTTGATCCCTGCATGCCTGGGAAATTCCGACGCAGAGAAGTTACCTAACATCCTGTTGATCCTGTCCGACGATCAAGATGTGGAGCTACGCGGCATGTTCCCGATGGAGCAGACGATCCAGCTGCTGGGTTTCGAGGGCGCCCTCTTCCACAACGCCTTCACGCCCACGCCCATTTGCTGTCCGGCGCGGACGAGCCTGTTTACGGGGATGTATGCCCACAATCACGGCACCCGGAATAATTCCGTAAATGGCGGTTGCTACGGAACACATTGGCGGAGGACCCTCGAACCTCGAGCCCTGCCGAACATCCTGCAGCAGCAGGGATACAACACCTTCTTCGGGGGAAAGTACTTGAACCAGTACTGGGGCGCCGATGTGCCCAAAGGATGGAATGAGTTCCATGGCCTCCATGGAAACTCACGGTACTACAATTACACGCTGCGCGAGAATTCTGCGAATGTGCACTACGAGTCTACATATCTGACCGATCTGCTAAGCGATCGTGCTGCAGATTTCATAAGGAGTGCAACCACATCTACAGGGAACGAGGATCCCAAACCCTTTTTCGCCATGGTGGCTCCACCGGCAGCCCATCAGCCATTTACTCCAGCTCCACGGCACGAGGGCGTGTTCGCCCGCATAAAGGCCTTGCGCACACCTAGCTTTAATGAGGTTAAACAGGGTAACTGAGCTATCAATGTTATATACATATTGCCATATATATATTGCTAAACTTAAATCTCTTACAGATAAGCACTGGTTAGTTCGAGCTGTCCGTCAACTGCCCAACGAAACGATCGATACTATAGACAAGTACTTTCAGAAGCGATGGGAATCGCTGCTGGCTGTGGACGAGATGGTGGCCACCTTGGTGGGCGTGCTAAACGAGACACATTCCCTGGACAACACCTACATCGTTTACACCTCGGACAACGGCTATCATGTCGGCCAGTTCGCACAGCCCTTCGACAAGCGACAGCCCTACGAAACGGATATTGGCATACCGCTGCTAATCCGTGGACCGGGAATCGCACCTGAGAGCCATATTGACACTGCCGTCAGCTTGGTGGACTTGGCGCCTACGATTTTGGCCTGGGCGAAGGTCAACACGCCAAACTACATGGATGGACAATCGTTTCACGAGATTCTGTTGAACAAAGAGCGGAAGATTCCGTTCTTCGAACGCTCGCTGCTGATTGAATACTGGGGCGAGGGGACAGTCGAAACTTACAATCCCGAGTGTCCTTGGCCAGCGAAAGATCGCTTGACACAGTGTACGCCAGAGGCTGATTGCCATTGCCAGGATTCGTGGAATAACACCTACGCCTGCGTGAGAAATATTCGTCACCGGGAGGATCGCGTTTACTGCGAGTTTAGGGATAACGAAGTAAGTTATAAAGTTATAAAGTTGTATAAATCTAATGTGTCTGTCCCATTTCAGAACTATTTGGAAGCCTATGACCTGCAATTGGATCCCTTTCAAATGACAAACATTGCGTACGATCTGCTGCCCATTGAACGAGCTTTGTATTCGTTGCGACTAAGGAATCTCACCCAGTGTTCTGGTCATTCATGTTTTCAATAGTTATATACTCAGTTCACTTTGAGTGAATACTACAATTAACCTTACCAAACTTGCACTCACAAGTGCTAACCAAACCAAATTAGTACTCGCTTGGCGTATCTAGTTTTTTGGAAGTTTCTTTATTCAAATATGTGATTTAAGTATCTATATACATAGTCTCAAATTATTTACATTACAGAGTCTCGGTGTTTTGTGTTTTGGCAACATTTTAGGAGTAATGCTGAGTACGTCCACGACCAGAAACAATGGCATTTCCATTGGCATCGAGAGTAACTGTGCGTCCATCCGGGCGCTTCCAAACGGAGACACTGTCGTCCCAAACACCAGCCTGGTTGTCACGGGCCACGAAGTTCTCTCCCTGGACGCGGCCATCGTTGATTCCACGGCGGCTGCGTTGGATGTTAAAGCCTCCGTTGCCGAAATCCACAGTGCGATCGGGACGCTCAACATGGAACTGGGGACTGCGGCGACTGCGTTGGATGTTGAAACCTCCATTTCCGAAGTCTACGGTGCGATCGGGACGCTCGACGTGGAACTGGGGACTGCGGCGATTGCGTTGGGCGTATATTCCACCGTTTCCAACAATCACTGTGCGATCTGGACGAGAAGCCACAAACTGGGGACTGCGGCGAGCACGCTGGACGACAACAGTGCGACCCGGTCGCTCCACATTGAATTGCGGAGAGCGGCGGTGACGGGGTGGAACGGGACCAGCGCCATAGGGACCAGTCTGCGGAGCAGAACCCAAGTTCTGCGGTCCAGGACCCAAGTTCTGGGCTGTAAGACCTGGTCCACTAATCGTGTGGGATCCTAAAAGAATAATTCATAAATTTAGTACAATCTGCATCTGTATATATTTATATACCTATGTATATATATTATATACCTGGACGGCCCTTTCGGTTCACATAAGTGTTTCCCTGCTCATCGGTGTACACATGCTCTCCCCTTTGCGGAGAATTCTGGAACTGGCCACCCACTCCAGGAACCGTATAGGGGCCTTCATTTTGTCCCCTTATGTAGACCTGATTGCCAGGGGGTCCAAAAACATGAGGGCCATTGCGACCATCGTAGGTTTGTTGCGCTTCCGCAACTGAAAGGATGATATTTGTTAAGAAATTTGATTAAAATATATAAAAACAAATTCATTTACCAGCACAGAGAACACCGCAAACAGCTAATGCTATTAATCCAAACGACTTCATTGTGATCAGTTCCAAAGCGCAGTAGCAACTGGTTGCATTAAGGCAGCTTCCAGTATTTATAGTAGCCGGAGAACCAGCTATCAATTAGCATCTTGCTCGATGCTTGAGCTTGAGCTTGTTTACAACGACCGCACAGAATTTCCCAAACGTCAGAATCAGCAGCCGACCTGCAATGGGAGTGCGATCGGGAATTTCTGAGAGATTGCCACGGCAAATGTCGACCATTAAACATCTATGTATGTACATGCATTATCTATCAAAGCAAATCTATTCACGGAATACATGATCGTTTATTTGGAAAAGGTGTTACAACTGGTTTAATATTTTTATTCCTCTCTTTAATGTCGCTATTAGAATAAGACACGAATAACAAGTGTTTTGTTTGGCCAACACGTGTTTGCTTTGGCAAGTTGAATAAACTTGACGGACTTTCTCAGCCACAAAATATAAGTTGCATATTAAGTGAATTGCTTTTGACATCTGCACCTATTCGTAGAATTCTCTTATTATAATATTTTATGACATTTGTATTATGCATTGGCAAGACGAACAAAAAATTTGTTGATGATAAAAATCGAGTATAGTCATATGTCTTGTTCATAATGTTTAAAAGACAAATCTAAATAATATATTCTATTTTATATTTTGCCATAAATTTCTGAAATATAAATGACCTATCAGGTTTTCTAATTAATATATTCAATGTTGATAACGACGATGGACATATTCTTATCTTCCAATTGGAAAATCCCCTGTTTAAATTGTTGTTCTTAATTCCCTACACCTCAGAAAGTCGTTCAAGTCGAGAGGCCACTGTACTTGGCCCCGTCTGGAGATGCGCCACCCATTTGAATAGAGACTGTCACATGCATTGTCTTCGGCCACAGCCAAATTCGATTCGTTCGCCCTCATGTTTATTTAATCTGATCAATTGGCGCAGCGTGTCACATAAATTTGGACAATTTTAAAAATGCACAAAATACACTAAATTTGTCGGTTGTTTGTCTTGGCCACCCCACGATGTCCAGGATGGCCGGGAGCGACAAATAGAGGACACTTGTGACCAGAGCATTGCGCCGCAAAACCGGTTTTAGCTGCTGGCTTTTGGCCACGTCGGTGTCGGTGCAACTCAACACCTTGGCAAATGAAAAGAAATTGCCGGCGAAGGCCTGGTCTCCGGATGTTTCCGGTTGCACGTGCAGATGTCTCTATATTCTCCTCCCCTTCCCTTGATCCCCACTCCTCCGGCCTCCGTCCTGCATCCTTCATCCTGCTCCTCCTGCGCCGCCGACAACATACTTCAGTGCAATTGCATTTAAATCAGTTGGCCGTGTGCTCGTGCGTTGTTTTCCTTCGAATCCTTCGAGTCCTTCCGCACACGAAGGCACCCACATAAATTATGCAAAATTTTTCCAACTCCTGGCCGGGCAGAGCCATCGCCGGAGCAGAGCGTCTATGTGGCCCGTGCGCCATTTGTTCGTTTCGAGACCAATAAAATGAGGCATTCGAAAGTTGTAAATATGCTCCCTGCCATTCGGCGGCAACGGCAGCGTTCAGTGTCTGCGGCTCGTAAACTGTCGGCCAGTGTTTTGTCAGTAATTTTCTATTTGCCAACGCGCGTTCGCTTAATGAATTGCTTGTGTGCGGTTTTCTGCATATGCATAAGCTCAAAAATTGTTTATACAAACTGCATTTAAATACGTTCCACCACCCATCCATCCCTACTTCCCCCGATTTTGAACTCATTTCGTTTTAGCCGGGAGCTGAGAAGTTTCCGCTTTCTTTGTCGCCGGGTAACATAATATTTTACTCAGGGATCGCAGCGAAAAACAGAGAAAAATTTGTTTGTCCAAAATGGACGGATGGACGGATGGACGGGCAGCTGTAAAATGGGAATAGAAAAAACAAACGGAATGGCTCGTGCCATGTCATGTTTTGTGATGCACGGGTCCAAGGATGCGCCGGGTGTCCTTTTTTTTTCCCTTCTTCGCCCCCTTTGTCATGTCGCCCCTTGATCCTCCCTGCCTTCCATCGGCGAACTGTCCTCGAAACTCCTCCTTCGCTGTAATATTTCCAGGCAACATCCCGAGTTGCCGGCCAGCTCAGTTCAGCTCAGTTCAGTTCGCCAGCTTCTTTCCGTTGGCAGTTGGGCCCAAAAAAAAAACTTTAAGCCAAGACAATGCGACATAATCGAAAAACAACAGACGGACGAGTTCGCGTGAATTATGCTGAAATTGTGGAGCCTTCGAGGAGCTGGGGCTGAAATGTTTACTTTTGATTGACTACGCTGTTTGATAAAACCTTCTTTGGCTGGGATTACAAAGATCCATTTTAGGGGGGAGACCCACAGCAGTGCATCAGTGTTGACCAAGGATTTGAAATAAAAATGGATAGGAATTTAATAAATGGTTAGAAAATAAATCCCAACAAGAGGAGAGTGGTAAATTAAAATAATAACTATCATATCAGAACTGGTATTGTCAGCATAACTAACCAGGGATTCCTGTTCCTCGAATCAACGAAGTTTAAACCAAATCGATTCTAATCCGAGCCCAGAGCCATATTTCAATTCTTTCCCAGCCAGCCCAGGAGTATGCCACGTTTTGCAGCCAGTTCGTCGGCGAGGGGCAACTCAAAACTGTTGCACACTTGGCAGCTGCACAGAGATGCACTTCCTCCGTTCCTCCTCCCGTCCAGGAAGCCCCAACCCTTCGGGGGACTTGTATGCGTTGGACTATTTATCAATTTATTACGCGCAAAAAGTTCTTTTTTGTCCAACTAAGCCAACTGTCGCTTCAGTACGAGTGTATCCCATATCTGTGGGTATTCGTATCGCAGCTGACATCGCTCAATGCTCATTGGGAATAAGCCAAGTGTGCGTGCCGCAAAATTAGCCGAGCCATGTACGAGTATATAGAGAGATATCTGGCATCAGGTGGCCGGGGCTTTGTTAACGGATTTATGCAGCCATAATAAAACTTGTGCGCGCTGCAAATTGATTTATGGAAGGGAGCGAGAGCGCAAACAATTGCAGATTCTATGTAGTGGCTTGTAGGTCCGGGAAAACTTTTAATTTTCTAAATGTATTCGCCGACAGAGAACTTGATGCCTTCGATACGCAACGCACATAAAGAAGCAAGGCAATGGGCGGCAGAAAGGAGTGAGGAAGGGGGCGTGGCAGGATGTAGAAGGGGAGGAGGGGAGCACATCCGTCCCAAAGAGCCGAGTTGCAATTTAATGCCGAGGCCAACGTAAAAACTGGAAAATTATGACCAAAATGAGAATTTAATCGAAATACGTGAGTGGAAAAATGAAAATTTGACTGCAACTTGGGAACGCGTCTGACTGCCCGAAGACCGAAGCTCTTTCACCTTTCTCCTGTTTCGAGAAAGCTGTACAGAAAACAAAACTTATCGTAAACATGGGATCTATACGCATTATTTATCTTACAAACTAAAAATTAACAAAATAGTTAAGGTACTCTTTTCATTCAAATTTTAAATCTCATAATAATAATGATTAAATTAAATAAATTTACTTAAGATACAGACTAAAGGAAATAAGTTTATTTATATGCATTTAAAGTAACTTAATCAAAACCAAATTGAATATTCAACGTTATGTGTAGGCAAATTACTTCTTAAAATAGTGTAGTATGGAATGTTATTTGTTATTCGTTTGAAATGAAAACATTAACTTTGTTTTTGAAAGTGTAGAAAAAGCAAAAGGCAACAGGCGGCGGAAAGCAGCATAAAATACACAGTGCAAGCTCATGCAACTTTTATCATGGCCGCAAACGCTGCTGCTTCTGTTGGTAACTGGTAACTGGTAACTGGTTACTGGATGGTGGGTTTCTGGCTGTTGGTCCTTGGTGGAGCAAGGAGCATCCTGGCAGCGTCATCAACACCGCCTTCATCTGGTTACGCGTTGCCTTGAGGCCCACCGAAAAACCCACCTTTCGCTCCGGGAAATAGCACAAATTAATGCCACCGACACTGACTCTTGCTTTCTTTCCGCCAGTGCGATTGTCTGTCCTTACCTTTACCGTTGTGCGAATCGGAGGTCTAGTTGCACTCCCCACGCCCGATTCCCATACGCAGGCAGACAGACAATTCTCAAATGAGTCAACAACAGTAAAATGGTTTATTTTATTACCAGGCAGCCGCCCTGCCGAGAGATCAGCCGGAGGAACTGCAACCTAAGAGATTGTTTTCCTCGCTTTAACTTCTACGCAATTCACAGATTGTTGATCTTTAATTACTGGGTTAGTTAGCAGTGTTTAGTATGGAGTCAAACTCATTTAGACTTAATATGCTGATTATGTTACACAACTACCTGGCAATCATTGTGAAATACATTCTTTACTGATTAAAAACATCCTTATGCATTTATTACAAGACAATACATTTAATTTAATCACTTGTTGAATGAACAAAACAAACAAAGTTAAAACTTGAATGGTTCATGAAAAGAATTAATAAGACCCATTAATAATTTTTTTTTTAAATTTGTTTATTTGAGTAGGAAAAGATAAATAGTTTTACAAACTTCATACAATTCCATTGATTTGTGAACTATTTTTTGTTGCCGTTCATATTATTTGCTTGTGTAAAAAATTCAAATTTAATTGAACAATAAATATATGAAATCCATCCAGGAATTTTATTGCCACACTTTTTTGTTGAAGTAATACAAATAATGGTTTTCCCAATAATTCTTTCAATAAACGCTCATAGCTTATTGGAGCAGTCTAACCCCTTTTGGCCAACCAACTAAACTTTTCGAATTTAGCTAGTGAGCCATTTGGCGAATGGACCGCTCGTGACCGATAATATGCAATAGATGCATTTAGGCGCTTAATATTTAATTCGCGTTGGCAACATCCGCTGCTAATTGCTTATAATTAACTAAATGACAGCCGGGCCGCGGACGTGCCGGCAACTTCATTTGGAGCTCATAAAGCAATCACATGCACTTGCACAACTATAAAAACTTCCTGTCCGTGTTGCCAGTTCCATGCTCTCTGCTCCCTGCTCCTCGCTCCTTGCTCCTTGGTCCTTGCTCCTTGATTTTGGCTTGGTTGCCGGTACATGTTTTCTTGTCCGTCTCTTCCGGCTGTCATGCCATTGCCATTAGCCTGGCCTTTACTGCTTTGCAACATTTCCTCTTGCGACTTCTTTCCTTCGGCTCACTTCTCTCCATTCTTTTTTTTGTTTTTTTTGAGGTCCGACTTTTGGCAATTTTCCATATGCAACACGCAACAGACGTTTTTATGTTTTCGGTGTGTGCGCCGCCCATAAAAAAGTGAACGAGCAGCATCCGAGGAGGCGACGGTTCATGGTCACGGTTCATGGCTCCCGGTCCTCGGTCCTCGGTAATCGGTCCTCGGTCTTCGGAGCTGGCGATCCGGAAGGGATGACAATCGTTCCGGGCGAGGCAATGGAAGTCAATTATCGAATTAATTTAGTTGTCCAGTGTCCGGGAAATGGGCAATGGCTTTGGGTTCGCACTTCGTGCACATCATAAATGCGAAGCGGCAATCACTAGAATCGGGGATTATGACGATTATGGCCAGGATGGAAGGTAAGGGAAGGGTAGGGAAGCGGATAGAATTCAAATTGTTTTTACCAGTCAGCCTCGTCCTGATTGTAAAATTGTGAAATTCTGCAATTAATTAAATTACCCGGCGAAATGAAATTTTTGGTCGCTGCAAGCAACAGCTAGCAAAAATCCCCGGCGGGGATTCCCTCGCAATATACATTCGTGTCCAGTCATCGTCCTTTTTACCACCCCCCTCCGCCTCCCCTCGTTCGTTCGTCCTTGTCCGTGTAATTGATGCGTTAATCCGCATATTGACAGCCGCGGCTGCGGTGGCTTTATGGAAATATGTCCCCAGGCTCAGCCACATCGGTACTTCGCAGGCCTGTTGAAAGGATTTGCCCATCGAATATTGCACCACTGCGTCCTGCCAGTCCTGCCACTCCTGTGTCCTGCCACTCTCGCCACTCTTGTTCTCCTGTCACTGCGACTGGCTAAGTAATTTAATTACATGCCGCAAAATTATCGCAATATTGTTTATTGGCCAGCGGCGCTTGACGCATTTTGCATGAGATTAATCCGACATTCTTCGGCGGTGAACTATCGGCTAATCTGTTGAGGGAATTTGCCGCAATTTGTCAATATTGAGAATTCTGCTGGCGAAGGTTGCCTTTGCTACCCCGATCCTGATCAATTCCAGGAGCGATTCCCAACTCTGCACTTCCAGAAACTATACTTTAATTTCCAAGTGGCATACCTCAATCAATTTACAATCAAATTATCAAATTAAAGGATTCCCAATCCAGCACTTCCAAACTCTATCAAAAAACAAATATCTTTTATGCCAGTAAAGTTCTGTTAATTTATTTTTCCTAGGATAAAGTTAACAACATATTGTCTTGAGCAAAGAAGTCCCCAGTGCATAGAAAAACTATAGCTCCCCCACATGATACAATTAAAAAACGTGGTTTTACTTCATATTCAGCATCTTCAGAGGAGGATACCCGTCACCCGTTTCCCCAATAATTTTACTAACTAAACAACACACAATGCGTTTATTCATATCGCCTGCTCCATTGTGTTGTTCAGTGGATTATCAAACGAGTGGATGGTAAAAGTTTTAATCAAAAGCGAATGCGCTCTGTGCCCGCTAATTACATTAGTTCTGCCTGCTGCTGCTGCTGCTGCTGCTGCTGCTGATGATGATGATGATGGTGTTCATGATGTTGTTGTTGTTGCTATTGCTCCTGTGGGTGTTGTTGCTGCTCCTGTTGATGTTGCTCCTGCGTGGCAAGGATACTTTGGATGCTGCAGTTGCTCCCACTGAATGTTTGATTATTTTCAATTATTTCGAGCGGCGCATTGTGCTGACTTTGGCATTGACAACGTGCAGGATAACACACACACACACACATGCTGAAACCCACACAAACACACTCGGATACACACACTCTCGCAGCGACAGAAGGAAATAGGAAATGTTATTGTCGCTGCGCATCCCCATTCCCCGAACATTTCCATTTCCATTTCCACTTCCATTGGCAAAAGTTTTGGTATAAAACAAAAATCAGATTTACATGGGCGAGGAAACAATACTCCCGTTGGGAGGCGGTGGAATCATTTACCCAAGTGAGCCAGGATAGTGTGTGTGTGGGTGTGTACGATTGTGGGTGTGAGTGTGCGTGTGTGGGTGGGCAACAAAGGACATCTCATGTTAAACAGCTGTCGGAAGCCGCCGGCGCAGTCGTCGTACGTGTGTAAAAACTTGACACAATGCAGCATTTCCCTTTGGGCGGCGAAAGTGGGCGTGTTTCGAGGGGGCGGAATACGGTGAGTGGGAGTGGGAGGGGGAGGAACTGGTGGGCGGACTGGTGACATTGCGACTCTTATCGGGCCACGTTGTCAAAGTTGTGCGGCAGACACCTGTTGCCAAGACTCCACTTCCCACTTGCCACTTCCCACTTGCCACTTGCCACTCCCAAATCCCAATTGAGTTCGAGTCGCTTGTGGCCAGCGATGAGAAAGATACGCTTGTTGTTTTACCTAAATGCCAAAAATACCCAACAATTGAAAAGCATAGTTTAAAAAGCATTTAATAGCTCGCTCTATAGAAAAGACTGAGATAGCATAAAATGGTTAGAAACAGCTTAGAAACAAACAAATAAAATAGGAGTACAAAATACGATAGAATAAGAAAAGCCATTTTAAATGCGGCTGAAAAATAAATAGAATTATCTATATATGTATATATTTAACTTAAAGAGTAACCGAAGGAAATAACTTAGCTGTTCAGCAAAGAACATCTTCTTAAGTTTAAGAAAATCCTTTGAATATTTCTTAAATAAGTTGCTAGTAATTTTAGGTATCTAAACAGTAGTCATTTTTCACTCCAGTCTGTTTTCAATAAAATTTTGTATTCTGAAAAGACCTAAGCTCCCTTGGAGGATGATTTTCCTACAGTTCTGGTGGGCGTTGATGGTGTTCAGTGGGCCGGGCAACTCCTTGGAGGTCATGACCGCCGAGGGAAAGAGCGGGCAGGGGAACTCGCCGGAGGGCAGTGACAAGTTGCAGAGCTTCAATCGGGCGGTGGAGCAGGCTCGTCCCGAGTTGCAGGAGCTGAAGATCACCTACGGCGGCTTGCAGGATCAGAACAACCAGAAGCAGCAGCAGCGGGATCGTCGCAACTCCATCGACGACATGCTGGCCAGTTTTGCCAACGAGCCAGGGGGTGAATCCAAATCGAAGGCTGAGGAGGAGGAGCGAGTCCTGCAGGAGGCGGCGGATGCCTGGTTTCGGGACATCCAGGCCAGCATGTCCAGGGAAACTTCTTCTGGAAGCCAGAAGCAGGCTCGTTCCGGTGGCAAACAGGAGCGATCCATTGCCCAGAATATCATCGATCAGCACGCCAAGACAATGGAAAAAACCGAAATGGGCAAGGTAAAGCAAAAGTACAAGGCGGCTTCCGACGATACCATAGTGCGCAAATACCTTGTGACTAAGACTCCTTTGCAGGATACGGGCCTCAGCCATCTGGACATTATGCTGAAGCAGGCGCAGGATTTGCTCAGCGATCACGAGTTGCAGGAGGCCCAAAAGGCCGAGAAGTTGAAGGAGGAGCGTAAAAAGCAGGAGGAAAGAGAACAAGTGGAAAAGTTTCCGGAGTTTGGCAACGCACCCATCCCAGATGGTGTCTACGAAAGTACTCTCGATCGTCTGGCCTTTCCACACGCCAATTCCTTCAAGCTGGCCCATGAAGCCAACTATAAGTTGTCCAAAATCGAACAGGAGGCCTCGGAAAAGTCTCCGAAGTTTTCGAAAATCGGAAGCATCAGTGAAAGCCCTCTGAAGCCAGCGAAACGCAGCTCATCAAATCGATTCAATCCCATGAATGAGATTAAACTGAAGACCAGCAGCAGACTGATGCTCAAGGGTCTGGGACCCTCTTTGCCCAGTAATGCCCTTATGGACATCCATCAGCACCAAATGGTGGACAGTATGATCCGAAGGAGAGAGCTGGAGGATCAACTGAAGAACGACCAGCAATTGGAGGCGAATCAGGACGGCGAGGATGATGATCAGAGAATGGGTATTAATAACCTGATATCTCAGAAGGATAACATGGAGTACCTGCAGTCGGTTAATCCCGCCATGGAAACAGATCAAATGATGGATCTGCCCCAGAGTTACGACTATAGACTGCCCCAATACGATCGATTTCATCCGCTGAACCAACGACAAAGTACTCGGGACTACGAAAGAGTTAATCGCATGCCCATTGAATTGGATCGCTTTAAAAGGCAACCTCAAATGGGTAAATCTTCTCTGGATGAATATTCTATCGCAAAAGGCTTGCCACTAGCAGGTGAAGTAGCCCCACCAGCCAAAGAAGTTAACGAAGATCAGGACATTATCAATCGCAAAATTGCTATAAAAATGGGTATATTAAACATGAACGATCGAAATGGCTTGGACTCACTTAAAGAGCAGGAATCAAACGAGAAAGACAGTCATAGCGAGATTAAGTTACATGACGAAGTCAGTCTGAACGGTCCTCTCATTAAGCCAGAAAATAAGCTTGATTCTGATTTAACATCCTTCGAAGGAAAGTTGGAGGATAAATCAGAGGTTGAAATCGAGGACAAGCTTTTAGCTCCAGTAAAACGTGAAGCCAAAGTGCAAGAAAAGCTAATGCAACCTCTTAAAATTGAGGCCACACTGAAAGATGAACCTTTAATTGAGGCAAAAGTTAAATTATTATCAAAAGAAGAGGTTCCACTTGATTTGGATAGCAATAGTGAGCTCCATTCCAATGGAAAAGCCGAACTGGCTGCAAATTCGGAAAGCCAAGACATTTTGGAGAAACGTGAAAGTCCGGAAACTAACGAGTGTGCGAACAACCATGAAAGCATTCCGGAAGCCGAAACGGATGGCAAGTCCGAGGAGGTGGAAAAGCTAGAAGCAGGTGTCGAAAAGGATAATGGCGTTGTCAAACTCGACATAAATCTGAAGCTTCAGGAACCCTCAGAGGAAAAACCTGAGTGCGACGAAGCCAATAAGGTGGATGAAAAGGAGGCCGCGGCTCCGAAAGTAAATCCCGATGCGGTGGTCAAGCTGTTGGCCAACGAGTTGTCACTCGACAAGGATCGCGGCAAAAGGCAAATAAGGCTGAATAGATATCGCAGACAGAACAGGAGGTCCAAGAGATCCTTGGACGAAAAGGAGCCACAGTTGCAGCAGCAACATGAAGAAAACGAGCAACATGTGGTAACCAAGCGACTGGCTCCTCTCCTCGATGACTTTGAAGACCACAATGGGAATCGCGTGGGTTTTGGAAACTTGGGTCATGGCATGCTTACTCCAGATTCGGAAGATCAGGAAGGTAAGTCCTATCCAAGTCATAAATTACTGGCACACTATGATGAATTGGAAGCCGCTCATGAAGAGGAAGCCCTGGCGAAAATCTACGATCCCACAAGGAATACTGTGCCCATGATGAATCAGCGGCCCAATTTGGGTTTCCCGGGGCAACCTCAGGTGATGCAACAACAACTGCAACAGCAACAACTGCAACAGCAGCAGCAGCAACTACTGCAACAACAGCAACAACTGCAACAGCAGCAGCAGCAACAGCAGCAACAGCACCAGCAGCAACAACTGCAGCAGCAGCAACAGCAGCAACAGCAGCAGCAGCACCAGCAGCAACTGCAGCAGCAGCAACAGCAGCAGCAACAGCAGCAACAATTGCAACAGCAGCAACCCTTGCAACAGCAACAGCAGCCACAAGTGCAACAGCAGCAGCCGAATCAGCAACAAGTGCAACAGCAACCAGATACAAATAGGCAGCGTCATCAGTCGTCCAATTTCCAGGCAAGTTTCAATTTAACGCACTTTTTCAATGAGTTGCAGAAGATGCAGAACTTGAAGGCGCCACAGCAACAAAAGCAGGTTGTGCAACAAAGCCCGGTGGTGCAGCAACCAGTGCAGCAGCAACAAATGCAGCAGCAATATCTGCCGCACCAACAACAGATATTGCAGCTGCCACAGCAAATGCCAATGCTTCGAAATAGCCAGCAAATGCCCAACAAACCCATGTCGCCACCAATAAAATCCTTTGGGGTTCATCGTTATTTCGGACCCTTCTTCAATAAGCAACTCAAGCATGATCCCTACTTGGCGGCCTTGACCACCATTGATCCGAGATGTGTACCCATCACAACTCCTGCTCAAGGTGTTTCTACGGCGGCAACTTTGCCGCCAAACTGCACAACTCCTGCGGACACTCAAAATCCAACTACAACCAATCCAACTTCTCCAACCTCTCCAACCCCTCCAACTTCTGTTGATCAATCGCACGATATTTGCAAAAGTCCAGATGCAGTGAAGCTGAATGTTTCCATTAATGCCAATGTTTGTGGAGACCCGAAAACTAAACAGTTTTACGGCAATGGATCCATAAATCTGATACCCGCTTTGAATGGATTGCATTCGGTATCAAATCACGAACTACTTGAAAAAACAGCGTTTCTAAGGGATAACCTAGATCAACTTGAAAAAGAAGAAAGATGTGTTCGGGAGGCGGGGGAAGAATCCGAGGATGGATGGGAGACAAAAAGTGAGAAGAAGAAGCTGAAAAAGCAAGATGGTCACATGAAAAGGCCTTCTATTAATTGGGCCGGAAAGAAACAGACTCATCAACAAACTGTAAAATCTCAGCCAAAATCGAAAGAGAATGCCACTTCAAAGGCCAAAGCCAACAAACAACCACAAAAAGAACCACTAAAAGAATCACTAAAAGAACCACTAAAAGAACCACAAAAAGTAGAAGGAAAATGGTGAGTTTGTTTTCTATTGCTAATAACTTATTAGTAATTAGTAATTAATTATTAGTAATAAGCATTACTTTTTATCTAAACCTTAAAAAATATTTAATATTTATTAAATGATTATTCCTACAGCACCATTAAACCTCTATCAAAACAAACCGAACCACTATCGGATAGTTACAATAAGTTAATCACGGGCAAGATATCGGAGAATATAGTGGCAGCCGTCTTCGAGGCGGTGGGCAATGATCCGGGAATGGATCGCCTGTTGCCTGTTCTCGAAAGGAATCGCAAGTGTTCGTTAAATAGGGCCAAGAACTTCTACCAGATCCGGAACGACAAGAGCGAGAACTATTTGCAGCAAACGGAGAACATGGTGCGGGATACCATGGAGGCCATTAGCGAAATAATCGACAAGCAGATTCGCACTCGTGCCTGCATTCCATTGCGTCCAGATCTCCAGGATTTCTACGAGCTGATACTCAAAACAGCCAACGAGGAACAGAAGTGCCGCGAGAAGCGGCAGAGCTCCCTGCAAGTCCTGGCCGAGGATTTCAGCCAGGATGTGCGACTGCTCGATCCCAGTAAAATCAACCAGAAGTCCCGGATCGTTAAGAAGTTACTTCGGCAGTACGAGGAATTGCCAATTGAGGACCAGCAGGCGGCGACTGGAGTGCGGGATGAATTGCTCTTGGATCTGGTTTACCTCAAGAAGTTGTCCGATTCCGCGGAGCGTCATCAGCGGAATGCCCGTCTGCAGGAGGTCCTCAAGCAGGCGAATTTGGATGATGTCCTGGAGAAGCGCATGTCCAGCGAATACTCTCCTCGATTCATAAAACTACTCAAAACGGCGGAGCTTTTCAAGGAGGCGGGCGAACAGCAGGCCAAGGCCTTTGTGGGTCTTTAATTTATAGATTTTCTAGTACTTTTATTTCTAATAATTTGTTTCATTCATTTTCTGTTTACTTATGTTTATTCTAAATAAAAATTTGCCTTGTTTAAATTAATTAAAAAACTAATACTTATAAAATCAAATCCTTTTAAGCTAGAACTCAAAAATACACATAATTTTGGAGAACAACAGTTTTATTTAAATAAATATTTAAAATTTTTTTAGAAAATTTAAAAGTGATAATATTTCGCAATAGACTTCTCTTTAACCTCTAAAATAATGGGAAAGTCCCAAGTTGGCTCCAAAGTCGTTTTTTCCTTGGAAAGGTCCACTGGTCCATCTCGAGGCCGTGCTGCCCAGATCGAGCCTTGTATTGTGATCCTGCGACTGCCAGATATTGGCTCGACCTCCCAGCTCCAATTGCTTGCCCAATCCGGGAATGTTCGAGTGGGTCAAAGTGGCTCCATGTCCATTTATGTGCGAGTAATCCAGAGCAGCTCCATTCCTATCGAACTTGAAACCGTTGGCCAGTTGGTTCTGCGAGGCGAAGGCCTTGGCATCCAGATTGTGGACTCCATTGTTAAATAGATTCGCGGTGGCAGTCTGCTGGAAACTATCCCGCACTCCAGGTGTATGTGTTTTGGTCAGCTCGATGCCGTGGCCATGGCTAAAAAAAGAAAATATAGTTAGTTTGTATGGGGAGTTAATGAAAAATCGTATAAATATAATTTATAAATTGATGCCAAAATAAGGTTTTTAACAAAGAACATTTTAAAGATATAACAAAATAATTTGTGTATTTATTTTTTTTAAATTGATATGTTTTAGCTAAAGTTAAATCTTAGATACTCACTTATTATAGGCCAAAGTAGCGCCACTGGTAACCGGAGTAGTGATCGGTTTGGTTTGGGTATTGCCCGCTGCGAATACCTGTCCAACCACATGGTGATCGGCGGTGCCAATGGCCTTGGTCAGATCCAATCGAGCATCGGCTCCTCCACTCGGATTGGAGGCCAGTGAACCACCCAACACCTGGCGACGTGCTCGATAGATTCTTGGTGGTGGCGGCGGTGGTGGATAGTAAATCAGAGGAATGGTTTGTGGACGCTGGGGCATCGCCGCCGCAAAAGCCGCAAACACACAAATGGTGACCACAATCAAGGAAATGATTTTGCTCATCTTGCTTCACTGATTTGCTTACAGATCTTTCTGATTTAGCTGCCAACTGAGGACTGTTGATGCTGAGATCTGCTCACTGATCGTTTATATAGCAATCTATCTCTGAGCGGTGCTTCCCGCTGAAACCGCCTGTGAATTACCTATTTATATATGCATGCTTTATTCTGCCTTATCAGTGAGATGAGATGCGTTTTTCAGTGGAGTCCCCTCGCAAGCAGGTGGTTTACATTGTCTGATAAGCGGTGTTGTAAAAATCCCCTGGAATTGGGTGATTTTTGTTTCCTTGTGTTTAGCAAATTTAAAGCTCACGTATTTCTTAGAAAAATTAATTCTGTGAGATATATTTTATTACTAAATTTGTTTTTTAAATAAACAAAAATTCAATTGATTGGTTTTAGGTATTTTTATAAATGTACAATAAACACGTTTTACTTTAAAAGTAGTCTTTAATATTGTATTTATTTTATTGATCTATTTTAAACATTTTTTACTTCAATGGGAGCTTACGCGTGTTTTAATCTAGTTACTGGGGAATTTATTTCGACATAAGTCTCAAATCCGTAGTGGTTTTTAATTAACCTTGAGTGAGATACAAATTCGTTCAGTGCAAGATGAAGGTGCCGATGCTGCATAGGAGCACCCAAATGGCGCTGCTCAAGAAGCAGATCCAGCGGAAGGCGAACGAGGTGCGCCAGCGGAAGAGACACGCCCGGAGGCGCCTGGAGCTGATGCGCAGGATTCGGGATCAGCTGCTGAACAGGATGCGGGTGTCCATAGATGTGCGGCAGAGGGACACGGAGCAGAATCGGAGGGAGAGGGCGCGCAGGGCGGTGGGCAGCATGTTGGCCATGTACAAAAACTGGCTGCGCAACTGTTCGAGATCGCTGAGGAAACAAAACCAGCTAATCCACCAACAGGAGCTGGTGAAGAAGAGACTCGATCAAAGGCTGCATCGGTTGAGGAAGCAGCTCAAGACACACCAGAGTCCAAAACACATTGTGGACAATTGCTTCAGGAGACTCGCCAAAGCGATGAGAAAATGGCAAAACAGCTCGGATTATCATCGGTTTATTGAGGGGCAGGATCAAATCTGGGAGTCCGAGGCCGAGGAGGTCAAGAAATACTTATTGGATTTTCGGAAAAAGAAGCCCCGAAAACGTCGTCGTCGTAGGGTTAGCCAGGATTCCACATTGGCCGGCTTCTCCTCCTTCTGGGAAACCGAAGTGCTGCGAAAACGCGTGAAGGTAAATCAACAAAAGCCTATCCCAGAACCAATATTAGAATTAAATTTATATTCGCCACCCAAAAAAACTAAAAAATACATAAGAAAAAAAAGAAAAGCCAAACCCAGAACAATACATCTTAATATAGATGAACTCGTCCCACAAAATAATATTTTTGAAAAGAAGAGACCTATTCGTAAGCGAACCAAACGAGATCCCGATGCGCCATCATTCACCAAACTTAGGGTGTTGATAAAAGAACTACTAAGATTCGATTTTTCAGTAAAAAGAAAAAGTCAGTTAAGTAGGAAGAGTTCGTCATTTGAAAAACGGAAAAAAGATCGTAAACGAATGGAAATGCCGGGGATTTCAGTTATTTCCGAACAACCAAAGCTTAAAAAACGAAAGTTCCGCAAGGTGAAAAAAACGCCTTATTCGAATATAACGAAAGTACTACAACTAGAAAATGTACCCAAAGCCAAAATCCTTAAAATTAAAACTAAGGTGCTGAAAAAGTATAAAAAGAAATTTAAAAAACAGATAAGGAGTTACGAGGATCTGATTATTGGGGATGAGCTACAAAAAGGTTTACAGAAAAATAAAATGAAAAAGATTTCAAGTGAGCATAAAATAGCTGCAGTAAAAGCGCAGAAGAAAGCGGCTAACAAAGAGAAGAAAAGGAAGTTATTTGCCAAACTATTCAGTAATCTGTCCTTATTCGTTAATCGAAATAGAATGAAAAGAGGGGGACATGCTCGTCGTCATAAACATGGTTCGGATAGTAGTTCGTTCTTCTCCAACGAAGTGATGATCCCTTCGGATGATGAAACTCAAATAATGCTGAGAGAAATTAAATCGCGACCCAAATTAACAGACAAAGAAAGCGTTTCCCAACTTGAGTTTGACGAGGATATCGTTGTATCTCTGACTGATTCACAGCAAAGAATTTTGGCGCCACAACGACCGCGGAGAAGTGTCCGTCGATCTTTTCGCGTGCCGTTAAATTTACCAAAAATAAAAAAAGTTGCTGCTCCAAAAATTCAAGAGAAAAGCCACTATCAGTCCCTCAAAAAGGATATGATGTACATTCCCTATAGAAGTTCAGGATCGGTGCGATCGAGGAGGTCCAAACGGTTCTCCACTCGTCCGTCGGAAAGCGATCCTTTGTTAAATCAAAAGCAGATCGGAAAGTATCTTGCAAAGTATTTTTCCGATAGCTTTCTGCCTGATAGAAAGGAAAGAAGCCGTGGCAAACAAAAAAAAGATTTCCAATCTTCCAAAAGAATCGATGGGAGTCTTAGAAAGAGTGTGTCCGATAGCATTCTGATCGGTCAAAAGGGAAGAGGGCGTGGACTCAAAAAAGACAAGTATCGAAAATTCGATAACTTGGATAATGCAAGGAGCTTTTCCGATAGCAACCTGACTGGTCGAAAAAGAAAAGCCCGTGGGTTAAAAGATCAAGAGAGAAAAGACAAAGATGGAACAACCGATAAGAACGATTTCCAAACTGGCGAAATCGACGAATCTAACAAAAGACTCGGTTCCAAGACTAGAAAAAGTACGATTCTTGAAACTGGATATCAAACTGGCGATGAAAACGTTTCTCCAACTGAATTAAAGGAGTTTGCTCAAACTGGAAGTAATAACGATCCCCAAACTGGTGATAAAAGCGTTCCTTTAGATGACAAAAAGATTCTTCCTCACGTTGGTAGCAGTATTGCGATGAACTACGATCCATACTCTGGCAAATTTTACGTGTCTTGGCCTGGCGATAAAAAAAGTACTCCAAAAAGCGATCCTAACGTTCCCGACGATTTCGAAGGTGAAATTCCCCCAACTAGCGAAAACTACACTCCCCGATTTGGGGAAAACTACACTCCGCGATTTGGCGAAAACTACACTCCCCAAATTGGCGATTACAAAACTCCACTAACTACCGAGGAAAACCTTTCACGATCCGATGATAAAATCGCTTCTAAAGAAAGGACTCTGTCCCGCCTTGAAAAAAGTCGACAGGCTGGCAACAAAAGTGTTGAGAAAAACTTGTATGGAGACAGGGATTCAGGCCGCATTAAAATTAACGAAAATCCAATTAAGTCAGCAAGTCCAGTTAATAGAGCTTCGAGGTCCCCAAAATCGCGTTATATTCACCACCAGAACGAATTCAACTATGAATATCTGCCGGATTTAGAGAAGTTATTTGAGCTCGAGCCATATTCCAGCTACGAACAAATTTTAAAATCACAGGGGGATGTTCCACACTCGAGGCCTAGTGAACCGGATCGTAGAAAATTCCGGCTTGAGGATATGGAAACTGATAGTCGATACTCTTATGTGCGGAATTTCCTGAAGGAAGTTATAGAAAGTAACCCCGTCATCGACAGTTTGGCTGATGTCAAGGGTTTTATGGCGGTGGTAGCGAAACACAGTATGTGGGACAACCTCCAGCGTCTCCTCAATGAGTTGCTGATATCGGGATTGAGTGATGAGGAGATAAGGCAGATGCTCTCCACCAAATATGTGGACTATCTGAAGAATATTATGACCGAAATGCATTTCGCAAAGGTGGAGCCGCCCCGCGATGCAATGCTCAATGTTGTGGACATCCATCCCGGCAAGGAAAGGCAATCAAGCCATTTCGGCAGGCTGTCCACCAGGAACATCCCAAAACCCAGGCAGAGCACTCGACTCATTCCCTTTGGGATGCGGGGCCTAAACACGCGGCTTTCGCAGGAAAACCGAATTAACCCTGGCCTGTACAAAAAACTTATCGAACAGGAGATGAATGCAGAGCGATTGAAGGTCGAGAGCCGAAAGCTGAAGATGAACCCCTCCTTTAGCCGGCTTTTCGGATCCCCTGCATCGAGCATGAGTCTTAATGCCAGCATGGATGTGGCTCTAACCGACGAACTGGATCTAAAGAACTCGGAAATGAGGTACTCGTTGAATAACCTCAAGGACCTAATGAACGCGCACAAAATGAAGTTTAAGGTGGGTGCAGTTTTTACAAATAATTGGTATGGCATTTTAAATACATATAAAACGTTAAAAAATGAGTATGACTAATTACAAAATTATAATATAAATATAATTATACTTTCTAAATCTAAAAGTTTTTTTTCGTAGGCTTTAGAGCGCCAGAAGAAGAGGATGGAAGGAGTGATCGACCAAATACGTTCCACCACACAATTTTGGCGTCCCGTAGACAAGTCCATGTCCACGTACAGCACAAGAAAGTCTAGGAAAAAGTCCACTGTGAACTCCAAAAAGGTTAGGAAAGACCTTAGGCCAATTGAGGAGCTGTACTACTCGCCACGAAAGACTGCCCGCCTGCAAAGGATTTGCGAGGATCTGGAGTGTTCGGAATGCGATTGCCAGGAGGACGAAGATACCGAATCGATGGTGCTGCAAAAGTGCCCGAGATGTGGAGTCAAAGTTCCCGTGCCGGCAGCCACTTCCCCTCTTTACATTACTCCATCGTCCAGCAGCAGCGAGATCCTGTCCAGCGGATCCATAGAAGCCTGTGCCAAGAACCAGTTGGTCATCAACACCCTTGAAGATCTTTGTGCGAGATGTGGATTTATTCATGACCGGGAAAAACCTTGCTTGAACTTACCACAAACTTCGAGGAAAAGTAATCTCCTACAGCGGATTAAGGATACTGCACCCAAAGCGCCAAAGTGTCCGGCATTCTGTTCGCCCCGCGGGATCCTCAAGAAGTGCAGAAGTTTTGATCGTTAAACGAGGAGTACAAGGAGTTGAGTGGCGAGCGAACTCCGGAAGTGCAAGGATATGAGCACCAAATCAGCCGACTGAGGCGAATGAAACATTTGGTTTAAGTGCTAAATAAATTCAAGTAATGAGTTTGCCTCTGTCTGTGGGTGTGCCTGTGTTGTTAAATGCTTTGCCAAGTTTCATAAAATATGCAAGGACTTGGCCACAAACACACCCACAAACAGGGGCGAGCACATGCGATGCACTCACGTACAGGGAAAATGTCTGCGGGCTTTTAATACACTTGCCGGTTGCTCCTCCTCCTCCTGCTCCTCCTTTGCCTCCTTCTACTTCCTTTGGACCTGCCCCCAATGCTCATGCCCCAATGCTTCTGCCCCTGCCCCAATGCTCCGGGCGTATGCAACGGATTCTCATCTCGCCTTCTTTTTTCGGCCAAGTTTTTAAGTCGAGCCATTGCTGTAATGGAATTTTATTGCATACCCGCACTCGCATTCTGTTTGCGCAAGCGAAACATGTTTCAGACATTTTCATAAATGAGAACGCTAAGGCAGCCAAACGCTGATTGCCCGAAGATCGGGTACGCTTTTAAAGGATCCGGGATACAGGAGATCATTGCTTAATCATAGTGAATAAGATTTTAGAATTAATTTCAATACCTTGATTCCCAAGTTGCTTTTATGCCCATACTTCTTATCATAAGTTATCCTATGTAATTTCTAAGTAAATAAAATAATTTAAGATATAATGTTAATACACAAAAATTTTAATTAGATTTCAAAATAATATACCTTTTTGTTTTGACATTTATTGGCATCTTAAATTGTTTTTAGCAATATTCTCCAATATAAGTCAAAATGTGAGCATATCAAAAACCTTTTTTTTTATTTCTAATTTTAATAAACGAGTAGATTTCATACGTTACTTAACTCGTGTCAGGAAATGGCTTTAAGGCATAATTAAAGCACTTGGTGACCAGCAAGCGGGCAACTGTCGAACGCATGGCAATAACATTTCTGGTAAATTGATGCCCGGCGATCAATCATTTCCCTGCCTACGGATTCCAGCTGAGGAGGACACTGGCCACTTGGCAGCCTGTGGCCCGTGGCAGCATTTTCATTAAGCTCCGACTCCTGCAGCCCTTCGTCTCAGTCTCAGCTACCAGTCCGCACATCCGCATCCATATCCATATCTACATCCATATCCACATCTATATCCACATCCACGTCCACATTCAAGGATTGCTGACACAAGGACTTGGCGTAAGCTGAGACGTTTTCATTTGCATTTTTCGTACAAATCGCCGCGAGGGTCGGGGCAAAAACAAACTGCCAAAAACCGAGTGGACTGGACTGTGGACCGCTTTCCGCGCCCGATTTGCGATGACTGCTGTAACATTATCTTGTTTGCTCATGACACGCGACCAGGCCCACAAAAGTCCCTTCATGTCGGATGCTTTCCGGCCGTTTGCCGCCTGCTTTTGTTCGACTTGAGACACTTGAAGGAAAAATGGAAGTTACTTATTGAATACCAGCAATGTTGGAACCTGCCCTCCAAATACATATTTTGTAGAGTAAAATGATAAACCATTTTAATTCTAATACTTAACATTCTGTTTGAAATCTCTTTTTGAAAACACGGGTTTCAAACGGCGCTTGAATAATGCTTCCCTTAAGAAACCCCCCTAAGTTAAATTTAAAACCCAGCTTTTATTTTCAGTACATTTCACCCGCCTTCTGCGATTCAGGACTTGCGATTTGCGACAGCCTTTTGTCATTTTTCTGCGGGTCCTGTCACTGTCCTTTGTGACTCGATTCCGATGGCTTGTCAAAACAGGCGAGCCCGGCGAAATGAAGCGTACGATTGTCCGCAATTCGCAACTTAAATGGCCATTGTGCAATCGCTCCCTCATGGCCGTGATTGCGTTTTATTAGCTGTCAAATTTTAATTAATTCGCAACATCTTGGCCATGCCTTTATGCATTCATTCTTGCCGCAAATGGGCACAAGGAAAAGGCCAAATCCGGAGCGCAAACGCCGGGACAATGCCGAAGTGAGCACACAGTAATTATTGGGCTCAGGTGTGGGCAGGACATGGAATATAAGTAGCCATAAAGGAGCAACAAATTGGACTGCTTAAGGCGGCAGATTGGAGCGGGTGGCAAACAGAAAACAGAAAAAGTGCGCACAAAGAGGAAAGCCATAAGATAAATGGGCTAACTTAAATTAGAATGGCTGCCAGCCGAGAATTGCTAAATGGGGCTGTTCCCCAAGTCGCTCGCTTTTCAAATGCAAAACCCCGTCCAGGTGAGGTCCATTGTTGGGATGTCATTCCGAACTTAAGTTGGAGCATATATTATGGGATGAACGGGTGGGTTGTTATGAAGGGAAAAACTTGAATCAAAATTTGTAAGTTGTTACATTAGAAAGACATGTGTTTCAATAAATTTAATAACAACATTAATTTGAAACTTACAATGCTGTAGTAAAAAGAATTCCTTCGATGATTTAAAATTTTCATTAGAAAAGAAATTTGTACATAAAATTTTACCAATTCAAAATGCAATGGTTTCCTAAATTATTCCTAATTTAAAAAGTTTCTGTTAACTTAGTACTATTTGCATCTGGAAACCTTCTTTTATCCAACGAGAATCCTTAGTCTAAACTGAGTATAAGAAATACTTACGATAACTGCAATTTGCACTTAACCCTTGCCGGCAGCCGCCAGTTCCTTAGATGCGGATCTCTGGTCCTGTCCCCGATTCGGTGACTTCATCCCAGGCGGCGTTTGTGTGTTTGCCTCACTTGGACAATTAAAGGAGCAGCCCCACACACACTCAGGGCTGAGTAGTAAGCCCAGCTAACTGAGCCCAGCTAACTGACTTCAGCTTACCACTCCAGCCACTTGAAAAGTTGGCCGCAAAGTGCGAATGCATAATTAATTCCAATTATGAGTTTACCCAACAACATTGGCAACATTGGCACTCGCCTTCGTTCTCGAGACGAGACAAGATGCGTTGGAGGGATGCCCACATGGGGAGTGGGGGGAATCAAGGGGACAAGGACTTATCAGCGCATCGACAGGATGTTTCCCCAGCCGCCAGGACACCCATGAACTTTGATGCCGGCGAGTGTCAACCCGTGCGATGTGATGGTGATGGTGGATGGTGATGTTGTTACTGCGATGCTGGGCTCCTTGTGTTGCTGCTGCTGTTGCCAGTGCCACCACTGCCACTGCTTGTTGCATAGTTCGAGTGAGCCAAGTGCTTGGCTGCTTGGCATGTTTAAACACATGCTCGAGTGTCATTTAGACAGTTATCCGCTCGGGCTGCTATCTGGCAGACAATTGATGTGCCTGCGATAGGCAGCAACCAAGCAACTTTAGCCTCAATTACAAAATGCTAAAAATTGCAATATCAATAACATTTTATGTCCTTCGAGGAGCGGTGGCAGTGGCCGGAGGGCGAGTCCTGCAGGTTTAAGGGTAACCACAAGTGCTGCGTCTAAGTGTGGCTGCCAGCCTTCAAAGCCGCCTTCACTATTAACGGAAATGCATTCTGGTTTTCCTTGTTTGGAGAGCGTTGCGTCGCGTCTGCCGGGCTCAAGTGTTTTAATGGATTTTCCCGCATACAACATACATGCCCAGCCCTTCCCTTCCCCTCTCTTTTCTTTTTTTGATTTTATAAATATGTTTTATTTTTCTTTTTTTTTTGTGTGCCCTCTTTATGCGGGAAATGTCAAGTTCTCGGGCTCATGTTGTTCGAAGTGACATCTCTGCACATGCATCAATCACTCGGCCCCCGCAAAAAAAAAAAACGGCATTACACCAATCAAAAGGAAGTTCAGTTCATAAAAGATAATAGCCTGGCTTAGCCGAATGCCACTCGGGAACTTAATGCCGGGTAGCAGCTGTATCCTGCGCAAGGAGTCCAAGGAAAGCCTATAAATTTGCAGATTATTTGCATATTGCGTCTGCTTCGCGGGCACGTTTTCGGTTTATTCCTTTCTATTTTGTTTAATTTTAAGAACAAAGCGGAAGAAATTCAATTTTTTCCGCTGCACAAACTAATGTAAATCAAGGGACATTATGCGTTTAATGCAAACAATCATAAATATGAAAGGAACATGCACAGGATGTAGTCGGGCTCACTCGATTTATTTTTAACTAGAGCCTTATCTATTATGGTTATTATTCTAGCACACCTCAAAAGGTATTATAAGTTAAAAATAAATGTACTTTTTCTGGCAATTTTGCAAGTGCCACCTAGAATACATTTACTTAACAATCAGTTTAATTTTCATGGTGTAATAAATATAGTTTTATCTTTTTGCATATCACATTTTTATTTCGATTAGCTGAACTATTGTATCCAATATATCTGAGAAAGTGTTGCCTAAATTGCATAAATGTTTTCTACTACAAGAAGTTCATTTAGTTTAGGCCCCCAAGCATGTTGACAAATGTTTTTGAATTATGAAAGAAATTAAAAAAGTGAAAGAGAAATAGCAAGTACATTTTCCCTTTCCCTTTCCTTTGAAATCTCAATTAAAAAGATTTAAAATCGCAAACTAGTTGGGTTTTCAACAACTCTCCTCTATTTCCCCGCAGTCAATTGGAACAACCCAACTGTCGATGAGTTAATCGGAGTACAAAGTGTGAAATTTTCCCTTTTCCACCATTGAAATGTCAGTCAATGTCCATGTGCATTGCATTGGCAATCGATGCCGACTGGCTGGCGTATTAATTTATGCGTTTCCCAGTGGCAGGTCCTGCCGGAGCGGTCCTTTAAATCATTTTTAATGAAATCTTCCTCCCGGAGGACTGCTGACAGGCCATGCTAATCCCGAGTACGTTCGCTGGCTGCAGTTGATAAATGAGTCATTTGCTTAGTAATTTAAGCGTTCATTCAATAAGAGCGGACCACCAGAGCTGGTGAGCTGACGAAAAACGTGGAAGGGTCAGCTCAAAGATTTGTGTAACCAAATACTCATTACATAAGTTTCGGGCCACAAGGAGCTGTGGGCAAACAGACGAGCTGAAAACTCCTCCCCCCCCCGTTTGGAAAATATGCTGATGTGGGGGTGCACGTCGTATGTATGCGCTAGTTAAGCCAAAAACAAATATTGACAGGCAAAGTCAAATGCAGGGGCGTCGACGGGGGAAATGGGAGGGGGAGGGGGGGGGGAGGGGAAGGGGGCGATGGCATTTAAAGTAATCGAGTGTTAAAAACGGCAAACGCAGCCAAACATTGGGCCGGCAAAGTC